GCTTCCTTCCTTCTTTCTCACCCTCTCTCTCTCTAGAACCCTCCCTCTCCCTGTCTCTCTCTAGATTCTCTCCCCCCCATTCTCTCTCCTCTTTTACTCGATTATTTCTCCAGGGTGCGTTTTGGCTTTTTTTTTTTCAGGTTCCGAACCTATGTCGGAACCTCAGGCTCGGGTGAGCTGTATCGAGGTTTCTTAACTCTTAACCCCAACAAAGAAAAAATTAAAGAATATTATTGTCACATATTTTGATTCTATAAAAAGTAAATAAATTGTTGATTTATTCTTAATTAATTAAAATATATAGCGACAAATATATATAATTTTATTGTTATCATAAAAAAAAAAAATATTATTCTACCACTGACCACTAGGTCACCAGTCACTAGCTCAAAGACGGCGTTAATAGGCTGCCCGCTGCCCGTTGCCCGCTGGATTTGCGTGTCCAAAGGTTAATCTGCCCGTGATATTTGTTTATTCCCATGTAGAAAATTGATGGTCAGGGGTAGAACAAGCCAAAAGTTGATAAATAAACTTGGCTTCAAGTTAGCCAACATCTTGGAATAATATCCAATGTCATGCTTTGAAAGTTTGATTCCCATTTGTGAATATTTGTTTACCATATTTTTTTTTATTTTTTACTTTTTTAAAACCAAAATCACTATTTGAATATATACTCTGGGAGGGTGTGAAAAAAGTCAACAAAAAAAACTCACAATTACTACTCAAATATGCATTTTTTAAAAGTTTGTCTTATAATTTCAGTCAGCAAAAGAGCACACTGAGAATTCACAACTGATTGATTCAAGCCGAAAAGGCCAATAGCCAATTCCATTAGAGAATCAAATATTCTTGTGAATTTAGTTGAGTTTAGAAGTGTATTACTATTTATAAAAGAAAAATGTAATTTTTAGATTTGATACATGTTGAATGAAAACTTATAATGAAAATATTATAAAAGTTATGTCACAATTTAAAAGTCGTTGTTATAGTTGTACATGTATATCTGATATAGTGCAATTAAGAGAGTTGTTGTTATAGTCGTAGATGTACATGTTATATATGGTGCAATTAAGAGAGTTGTTGTTATAGTTGTAGATGTACATGTTATATATGGTGCAATTAATAGAGTTATTGAATAATTGAGGTGGATAAGTCAACTCTCACTAACCTACCATGAGTAGCTAAAACTCTTATTTTGGAAGAATCATAACCATCTATTTGTAGTTTAAGAGAGGGGACAAGCTATTTCAACTTGGTTTACCAAACTGACGTGGCATGTGATGGTTAAGAAGGCTAAGAACAAATTCAATAGTTGTAGATTTTATGAATTTTTTACATACCATGTATAGGAGAGAAGCAAATGAGAAGAGAAAAATTGGAAACAATAAATTTTGACCACAAAAAAAACAAAAAAAAAAAAAACAAAAGGCATTACGCGCCCAACGACGCGTGCAAATCTACGCAAGTTTTCCTCTTTCCTTCCAAAATTGAACCCCACCAAAAAAATCATATTTGCAGGAAAAAAATCTAGCCAACCACCCCCCTAAAAACCAATTTATATTTTTTTTATTCCTTAAAACCCACTATTATGATTGCTATTGTGACAAATTATATTAGTTGAGCAACTATGATATCACTTTGCAAGTCTATATGCTGTGATTATTTCAACAACACACGTACGAGTCGGATGAGCACATTTAAACCCGTTTAAATACATTAATACAATAATAATAATAATGGGTACTCCAAATACAAGCCTAAAATTATTGAAAAAATAAATAAATAAATAAAAGGAATGACATGACACCAATTCTTAACTTTCACGCAGGAGCCGAAAGTCAGCAAAGTGAGATGCAGCTGCTTGTTTGCTACCTCAATTTTCCACTTTCTATAGGGAGGCCTAATGGCCTATATGGTAAAATGCTTAAAATAATAAAATGAAAATTTATCCATCAAGACATAGTTTAATTGGTCAACTAATAATTTATAATAAGTCTAAATTTTACTTTACTATCAATCATATAATACACAATTCAAATCATATCAATGACAATATATATATATATATATATATATATATATATATGGACGATTATTGACAGTACCCATAAGCTAATTGAGGTACATATGTGATTTTGAAGTATAAATAATGAATAAAATTATAATGATTTATATTAAAATTTGATAACATATACACAAAAAGGTGAGACATGAATGCCATAATATAAATAATCTAATATATATATATTGTATTAAAAAAATCGGACGAGCCTTTTTCTTAAAACACGTTTAAATGTAACTTAATTGTTTACTTTTCTTTGTATTCTTTTTTTTTTTTTTTTTTTTTTGTAAAGACAACCATGATTATCTAGAACGAACATGGTTGCCACCATCATTTCGTAGGAGATAGAGAGTGAATCGCAGGAGAGACAATAACAATAACAAGAATTTGTACGTGAATCGCGGCCTCGACAAGTTTTTTGTTCTTTTGGTTGATGATCTTGAAAATAAGAAACACTAAATCTACACGAAATTTGGGGCTAAGGATATCTCCACTGTGCGATTTTTCTTTCCGCCAAACTCCAATGACGACGTTAAGCCGATCATCACACGATGAGTTGTGAAGACTGAGGATTCGTCGGAGATGCTAGAGGTTGAGAAACGTGTAATACATTTGTCGAATAATCATAAAGCATCAAAGAATAAGAAATTGTGTTTCTTAGAAGATGGATATGAAGTGTGAGGATATTAAGAATACCATATTTTATATGTCATTGACGATAGTATTGATTATTGTTTTCTTGGTGATTAATAAAAATAGTTTAAAAAACAAAAACAAACAAACCAGAAGTATAAAAAAAAAAAAGTAAAAGTTAAAAAAAGATGTGTTAGGAAGCAATAACCAGCTAAATAGGTTGAAATATTATTTAATTGAATATTTTTACCAATTTATAATTTATTTATTTTTACTTAGAGAATTCATTTACAATTTGTTGAGATGCAATATTAACTCTTTGTACTTTAGTAGGTTGATAAAATAGTTATAAATGAATATTATATTATAATAGAGTCACTAGCATTCATTAAAAAAAAAACTTTTAAAGGCCAATTTAATTTTTTAAAATTGTAGTGGTTTGAAAGAATAAATAATTGAAATTCGAAAACAAGCTGGTAATTAGTAAATGCTGATGAGCCTGCCCAAAGTAGACTTCGGACAAAAGTGGGCTCCACTTAAATTGGAATGGCATTGGGTCTACTGCTTGTAGCTTTTGGGTTGTGGGGCCCATATCTGCCTCCGGACCCGTTCGGATTCACACCATCATTATTACGAAGTATTATATATATATATATATATATATATATATATATATATATATATATATATATATACTTTTTATGGTGTATAAATTATAATGATTAATTTTAGTGAGGGTGTTGATAAGAAATATATCTGGAGTATACCTCTTTCGGCATATTGTATACTTGTTAGGTATTTGGCCGGATCATTGAGATGAATTTTTTTTCGAGTTATGTTCGACCTAAATGTGACGATCGAGTGAATACTTGGTCAACGTTAGATTCGTCCGCCCTATACCAGGATCAATTCCGACCTGTTAGGGTCGGAACGTTCATCCCTCGTAAGACTACTTAAAAACTGAGACCCAAGTTCCTGACTTCGAATCGAGCACATCACTTAGTGGATGGTCAGGAATATAATATTGCAATACATAGACATCATGGCAATGCTCCCGAGCTGACCAGTTGCATACGCGACACGTGTAAGTTTATCTTCTCCTCCCCTATAAATACCTCATTTAATAGTAGAGAGAGGGACTTTTGACATTCACACATATCCATTATAGCTCTGACTCTCTAACTAAACGTCATTTCTTAAGCTCATGACTTAAATCAACAATAATTTTATTCACAATGTATACGACGGATAATGCATCTCCAATCCCGCTTTAACAAATCACGAATAACTCTAAAGATCTGCATATAGTCAAAGTGAACATTGTAAATTAAGCTTAGCATAATAAACAGACTAATTTAGCACAATACGGCCGACTTAATATGTGTCTAAAATCTAAATGGTTGGTTAACACGACAAAACACGCATTTCCCCCCACCAAAAAAAACGACAAAATATGCGTGTTGTAATGTTGTATAACGTATTAACGTAGTGGGATTTAACTTTGTCAGTGGTGTTTATTTCTGGGCGTCTTTTGTTACAAGTAACTACACTGGTATGTACTGCTATGAGTATCCTATGCATCAGCTTTGTCATCTACATATATGTACACTACCATTCACACTGATGTAACCATTAAATATTTTTTATATTAAAAATAATAAGTGTACTCTTTATATTAATTTACCCATTAAAACTCTTTCTTTGAAGCGTGTACAAATGTTTTTTTTTTTTTTTTTTGAATAAATATTTTTATGTGTTGTTTGATTTAAAAAATATACATTTTTAGCATTCTTTTTATACATAGGTAAAAGGAGCACCTAAGAGTCTAAGACTACAAGATTTAGGACATCACTCTCATATGAGGAATGCTGATGCTATCGTCAAACACAGTATTATTCTGTAAAGGTGCCACCGAGATCTCAAGCCCTTTCGTACCATTGCGAACAGCCGAACAAGGTAAGACACAACATCCGTCGCTTTGTTTTGCTCCCTAAAAAAAATGAGTCACTACAACTCCTACAAATGTACTCATTTTAGTTCAACCATTATGTAACTTCTTCTAGGTCACTAGTTATAATTTTTTGAGTAAGAATAATGCTATCTTATATTTACAAAATTTGACATACTGTAGGAAGGGATTCTCCCAAATGGAAGGTCATGAGTTCAATTCCTAGTGAGTGATATTGACTATTTATAGTAGATTGAGAAAGTAATTATGAACAAATACTACATTGTAACAGAATTAATAATATTAAAAAAAAAAAAAAAAACTCCCAATAATTAATGAATATATGGTTGGCAATTTACAAGGCCGCTTTCCCTCCACGGCCCAATACGAGCTCCTCCGCCTTCCTTGGTCGTTTTCAATGGAGAAACTGGCGAGACTGGTGACCCAAATAGCCTACACTCCACCTTCGAAGAGGCTGTCCACTCTTTCACCGCTCCAGCTCTCCCTGATCCCATTTCTGTCCTTTGCATCATCTTTTTTCCGACTAGCAGTTTCCCTACGGCACCGCCTCTACCGATATGGGTTCTTCCGCCAGCAAAGGTAAACTCTCAGCCTCAGCCGAGCACAAGAGGTCTTTTGGTTCTAAACCAATGAATATTCCGTGGGTGGATTTTTGTTTTCTGGTAACATTGACGTGAATGCTTTGAATTGTAAGGCTACCTGTACCTGTGATTAGCGTCGGGAATTTGACTTGGGGAGGCAATGGCAAGACTCCAATGGTGGAGTTTCTTGCTCGTTGGCTGGCTGATTCTGGGATTCCACCCCTTATTCTTACTAGGGTACTTAACTTTCTTTCAATGTACTGTATATATACTGTTTTGCTGGTTTAGAACTTTGGATATTGGTTACTACTCTTCACTTTGCACTAGTACACACACACAGATTTGTATAAGGTTGATCATAAAGAGTTTTTGTGATAGACAAAAGACATAGATTTGTGCCCAAATAGCAGTGTGGTTCCCAGATGTACAAGTTGATCTGCCTAGAACTGTGCTGCAGAGTTCATATGAACAATTTGTTTGCAGGGCTATGGTGGTGCAGATGAAGTTAAGATGCTTGAGAGGCATCTTCGGGAGACGCCTGTAAAGATAGGTGTTGGCGCAAATAGGGCTGCAATTGCTGCTACTTTTTTTCAAAGACATGGTTATATGAATCCTAAAGACAATAGTACTCGTACTAATTTGTGTGTGGACCGAATTGGGGCTGCAGTCTTAGATGATGGTATGCAGGTCTGCAGATGAAACTATTGCTTCTCGTTTGTGATCTCCTGTACATTTCCAATTTAGTTTCTAATGTTTGGATGTTGATCTTTTAACATCTTCTTCGAGTTACTTCTCTTTGATTTTAGTTTAAACTTCTTTATGTGATTGTTTTCTCGCTCACAAGTAATGCCTTGGTCAATTAAGTACTTCACGTTACCTTCTTTTGATGCCTCTGCATATAGCGTAGGATGATGTTTATAGTAATGTGGTTTGTGTCTTGATGCTTTTGGGTAATCAAAATTGGAAGGCAGCACCTTAACTTGTGGCGTGATATAGAGATTGTAATGGTGAATGCAATGATGCCCTGGGGCAACCGTCGGTTAGTCCCGCTTGGACCTTTAAGAGAACCTTTTACAGCACTTAACCGAGCAGATTTTGTTGTAGTCCATCATGCAGACCTGGTAACAAACATTTTTTAGTTATGCCCTTTAATTTGCTTGTTTAAGTTTGTAGTGGGCATAAGCAAACGAGTTTATCGGATGAGTTAAATGCAGAATAGCAATAGTGACTGAATGAGTTATGGCGTTATGCAGGTATCAGAACAGGATATTGAAGCTATAGAGTCAACAGTTCGGAAATTTAATGAATCGGTTCCCATATTCTTCAGCACATTAGCTCCTCTATACTTTATGAAAGCCGGAAACATATCCTGCAAATTATCTTTGAAGGACATATCTAATGCAATCATCTTATGTGTCTCTGCCATAGGATCTGCAGATTCCTTTGTGCAGAGGATTAAGAAGGTATTTTCTTTTCTTTCCTTCTCCACCTCCCTCCCCCAGGTTTAAAAGTTTAATAAAGATTGCCTACTCATTCCAGATGGGGCCAATGCTTGTTGATAGACTCGACTACAGAGACCACCATTTGTTTCTACCCGAGGTTAATCTTTCTGTGATTTCTCATGGCTTCCATTCCCCGTGTATTTGCGTATAGGTCTTCAACATTAGGGATCAAATAATGTTTCAACTTCCTTTGCTCTCTATTTGTTTTTATTTAGGTCCATATTTACTTAGACGTGTAGTAAGCATTTGTTTCTTAATATCTCTAGGATATTGAAATGATAAGAAAGAGACTCCAAAAACTTCAATCTGAGTTTGCCGTGACTCCAATTGTGGTTGTAACTGAAAAGGTGAGTCGATCTTGTGTACATATATATATATACATAAGAAGTTCGATTCAACTCTAAAGCTGTCAATTGCAGTTCGAGAATTATTAATTCATTTTAGAGATACGTCTCCTTTTGGTCGCTTGGTGAGTTGATAACTCGATGTTGCATCAAGAGAGGCTGCTAAATGATTTCTGCATAAACCATTCAGCTCTTCTCTTTGCACATTACATCGCCTTGTTCATAGGAGTTTTAATTTCCTCGTATTTGACAGGACTATGATAGAGCTCCCGAGGTTCTTAAACATCTGAACTATGAAGTCTTGGTGCTTTGTTCATCCTTGGAAATCCTGTCTTCCAAGGGAAGTAAAGAAGATGGGTTCAAGAAATGCTTGAGGCAGTGTCTGGAAACAAGATTGTAGGGTGGATATACAATCTAATGTTGTTTATGGAATGATAGATGTTTTGATGGATAGATATAATTGCTACAATTACTTGGTCCTTTAACTTGCAGCTTTATGTATGTAGTCTGGCAAACTTCTCAATATGCATGTGAAGTTTGGGCTGTATCTCTTCTATAACATTCAATAAATTCAGGTGGTGTTTGGTTGGAGGTTTTTACACCTTAGTATGGATATTTAAGCCATTATCATGTTTGTTTGTCTACTTTTGTTATACTATTGTACCACACCATTGCACTATTACACCACTGCACAACTGCATCGGATGTACCATTGCACCACTCCTCATATCTCTATCGCCTAATCTCAAATCTCAATGGTGCATAGGAGTTTACAGGTTCACACCCAAGTAGTGATTTTCACCTAAATCGGGTCCTATATATGTGTGTATACTTATTTATTAAAAATTAATTAATTATTTATTTATTTTGGTTCTAATTCATATTTATTACCAAACAAAGTGACTTCCCTTGCATAAACTCATTACCATTATCATTACTAAGTATTTGATTCCCATTACCATTTCAATGTTTGAACCAAACACATTTCAGAGAGTTAAACCCATTATAGTCCTCAACTATAGTGGTTTTACTCAATTTAGTCCTAAATGATTTTTTTTGTGTGTGCTCAATTTAGCCATCGACTTAGATGATTTTTTTACACAATTCAGTCCTTTGTTAAAAATTTTGTTAGTTGATTGTTAGAAATAGGGTCCAAATGGTAATTTCTCATCCTCCATCCCATTGGGGATTATCCCTTCTTCTTCCGCTCATTAAGATTCACGTATAAATGCAAATCTTTGTACTCAAATCAACTTCAACCCTTAAGGAAGGAAGGTTAGGCAAATATTTATTCATGCGTGGGTTGAAGTTGATTTGGGTACGAAGATTTTCATTTCTGTGTGGATCTTAATAAGGGGAGGAAGAATGAATCATCCAAATGGGATGAAAGATGATAAATTACCATTAGGACTCTGTTTTTAATAGTCAACTAACAATTTTTTTTTTAAATGGACAAAATTGTGTAAAATTATCAAAATCGATAACTAAATTAAGTATAAAAAGTTATTTATGACTAAATTAAGTAAAACTACTCTAGTCGATAACTATATTGGGTATTAACTCCATTTCAGACATGGGATAGTGCAACGGCGGTGACAGTGTTATTCCACTAGGTGACTACTGCTTGTAAAGAATGCCAGATGGATTTACACACACATATACGGGATGGTTTGAAAAATTGATGAGGTGATAGAATATAGCTGTATGTGTATATTTAGAAAATGAATGTGGAAATTAAAGGTCAAACAAGACGATCCCGCAGCACACGTTGCATTCATTAACAATCCCATAATAAATGCGTTTTATTTCAAATTTCAACACTATTACACGTTAACAATCATACATCACTCATGGTGACATGGATGACATCCATATATTATTCACATTATATTTTAACCTAATTCATAAAATTAATCCGTTCTATATATTATAAGTTTATTATTTTACATTTATCTTTGTTTTCATATATGGAAATGAAAACTGAGTAAAAATCATTCATAAATTTAAACATAACACGGATACTATAATTTCTGTCTAGAACGATTGTAAGGAACGATCTGATATAAAATTATATTTAGCATATAATGTTTTTGCTTCATGCATAATTTAACAAAGTAAGATGACCCAAGATCAAACTTTGAAAAGACCCAAATTTTCTTATTCTTATCTTCCTCTTTTCTTAACGTTGTGGTCTTGCAGAGGAAGATCTTGGGTCCTTTCATTTTGGCAAGTCATTATGCATTAATTTATGGCTTGGGAGTGTTAGACGGTTGCAATTGACAGTTTACTTGAGAAAATTGAAGTTTTGTAAATAGTGAAGCAAATTAGACGTAACAATACGCGGAAGATGGAATTTGCAGTCAACTGCTGACTGGTTATTCGACTCAGTTTGGTTATGCTTAATCGTGGAAAATATATGTCAAAAAATTAAGAATCCTAAACTGTTGTTACGTTGTTGCGCCAATGACAACTCATGCTGACCAAAACCACCATTTGAAGCAAACGTTTTTAAGGTTTCACATGCATTAGCTAGCTACTTTAATTCCAATACCCACAATTAGCTAGTGATTCTAAAAACTATCAATTTTTTTTTAAAAAAAAATTTACTTTAGAGAATATGTCTAAAAAAAATTGTGGTTGATATAATGGTGAGATATATGACCTTCTGTCCATACTCAATAAGCTACCTTAATGTCATAGCAAGAGAGGTGTTGGGAAATGCAAACCCTCTCCCCTACAAATGTGAATCAATAAATATGAATTGAAGTGCATTATTATGCAATATTAGCATTTGTTGTTTTTGTTTTACGAAAAAAAACTTCAACTTGCTATTCAAGGGTATGTTTTTTTTTTTTTTTTTTTTTTTTTTTTTTTTTTTTTTGGGTGTACCTATATGTATTTGATGAAACCCATCTTCGATACATTAGTAAGTAAAAGATACCAAGCAAATTAAGTAATTTATGCAAATTTTAGTTAATTGCTGGTTTAATTGAGAGGTGAATAAGCAATTAACTCCAATTGCGAGTAGAACTACTATTTGTGTGGGTTGGATCAAAGAAGAGGAATGGGGAAGATATGGAGAGCAAAAGGGGTTTGAAAGATTGACTTGGAAGAAGTGGGAGAAGTGTGTGGAAATCTTTATTAGTCTTTAAGCTGATTCCCAAAATTAATTATATTGAAAATTAATGGCAAAGTGATGGCCACACGCAAAGATATGTAGTGGAGTCCATGCTTTTCAGTTTGTTTTCATTATGACCAAATTAAGTGGGTAGCCAGTAACTCACTATTATCGTTCCCATCCATTTTAATTTAAAGCCTATCTCCATCACAATTAAATATTATTGCTTATTAAAAGTGACATTCATTATTTGATTTATTTCCCCTAAAAAAGTGACATTTATTAGAAAATATATAAATTGTATAACACATTAAATCAATGTAATTTTATACTACATCAAAATAAATGAATATTTTTATACGTTTACCGTATAGTACTCGTGGCGAACGAATCATGATACAAAGCTACTATCATGTTATGCTTTTGTACACTTGTTTAATCCGTAATATTGTTGTACTTTTTAAAATCAAATTCTTCAGTGTGAATATGGTTCACTCTTATATTAGTATATATAAGTTCTATATATAATTATAATTAAGGAAATAATTGTTTCCTGAATATTGAATAATCAGTTTTGAAAAGATTTTTCTAAGAAATTGGACTGAAGTGATGTCGGAGCCGTACATAATGGCAACAATGTCATAAAACCATTTTGGTTTCACAAAGTAAGTAGTTAACCGTCACACTTTCGTTTTCGTGGATATAGTGTGTCAATATTTATGGATATATGTATGCATCAATTAATCTAATTAACTACCATTACTGTTACAATTATTGAGTTGTTCTACTTTTATTTATTTTTTTTGTTTGAAAACTGTTCTACTTTTATTTATCTGCCTCACAATCCATCATATGTGATGCTAGGACTAAAAGTGATGAGTTTAGGTACTAATCAAATTTGGTAAATAGGATTATTAAAAGTGGGAATTTTAGATATTAATTGAATTTGGTCGATATAATCAACTGAAAGTGTGAAAATTTTAAATTAAAAATCAGATACCAAATTTGGTTAGTGTTAAAGTCAAGAGATAGAAGAGGCAAGCGGACTAAATACCACTGGGATTGTTTGCGTTTGTTATTCGCAATTATATGTAATTATTGCTCCGGGACTTAGTGTAGTTGGTTCGTGTCTGACTTAAATGGAGGTTAGGTGTGGCAAATCTCACTGAAAATATGCACGAGAAGATGTTAGAAAATCATGACCGGAGGCGACAGGGTGAGGTGAATCTCGCCAAAAACATGTATGAAAAAAAGGCCTAAGGATGTTGGAAGGCTGATTGCGACTCACGGTTTAGCAATTATTATATTAGCAAAGGATGCATGAAACGTTGATTAAAGTGTAATTTATATATTATCCTCCTAATTAATGTTCGAGGAAATGCCAAAGTAAGGTTCTACATATATCATGTATGCATATGGCAACCTTATAATACAAGCACATACAAGGATGTCCCAAGGCATAAATGCATGCGTAATGTTACGTCAACGAAAAAACGTATGTATGCTCATTCTAATCTTCATTCAACTTGTTCACACTCCCATGTGGTTCCCTCTTTCATCTTTTCTACGCCTTTAAATCCCCCCATCCACTCGTATTGAATTCTCCCAAGTGCAGGAGAGAGAGACATCAAAAGAGCTATCAAGAAACCAGCTCAAGAATGATGGGTTTTGCTTGTTCTCTGAGAAAGATGAATGTTTTTATTGTTTTCTTGTCTTTCTCCTTCTTCTTGAGTGGTTCTTTCTCGGAGGCTCAGAAAGTCCCCGCCATGTACGTGTTTGGCGACTCTTTGGTCGATGTGGGCAACAACAACCACATTGATTCCATCATTCGGGCTGATTTTCCTCACAACGGTGTCGATTACCCTGGCCGGAAAGCCACCGGAAGGTTTAGTAATGGCAACAATTCTGCTGATTTTCTTGGTAAGTTTGCTTTACTTTATAGTAAATGGTGTCATAGAGTATGATTGTAGACAGTGATATATATATATATATATATATATATATATATATATATATATATATATATATATATATGCCCATAATCAGGTGAGAACCAACTTTAACTTACAAACTGCAAACTGCAAACTTGTAAAGGGTTGCACTTCACTTACTTCATGATTGCACTAAACACGGGTCACGCAAGGTCCTCCAAGCATGTCTGATAGCTGTAGCAGTGCAATCATGTAGTAGTTGCAGTTCAATCCTTCACAAATTCACAGGTTAAGATCAGATTAGTTTTCACCTCATTAGAAATATATATATATATATATATATATATATATATATATATATATATATTGTTGGACCAACCCCTTTGGTCAAATAGTAACCACAAATTTTAAGTTTGACTTTTTATTGGATTATTTATTAACATTTTTAGATTGAACTCCGTTATGTACAATTTAAACTAGTTTTTTTTTTTTTGTTCTTTAATTTGTTGATTAATGTTTATTGTTGATATTTTCTTAATTAAGTCTATCCATAGTATAAAGTTTTCTTAGTGTGATCAATGTGATTTATCTACTACACATTATTTGTGTATAGTGATTGTTGATTTCCTTTGTTACCTGAGAGAATAAATATTTAAGAGATGCGTGCTATACCGCTATATATGGAGAAATGCCTAATTGCTTTAATTTTACAAATTAAATATGCATATCAGATCAGCTGCACATCTTGCATGATAGGGCATGCACATGCACTGATTGATGCGTATGAGAATATAATGGGAAGTGGGAACCTTTCTTTTTCAGATATTATGAGAGTGGTATAGATAATAGATTAAACATTTTTGTGATCCACGGAATTTCTTGGCTTTTAAAATAAAATTTAAAATTAAAAAAAACATCATTTGACATTTTGACAGCTGAGAAAGTGGGATTGCCGACTCCTCCACCATACCTTTCCGACAAGAACAATGTCTTCCTCAAAGGTGTAAGCTTTGCTTCGGGAGGCGCTGGAATCTTCAACTCCACAAATAATGGCATTATTGTAAGATTTTGAATTCAATCACACTAAAAGTGATTAAAATTTAAAAAACTTTTCAATTAAAATAGTGTTTTTAAATACCAATAAAAATCGTCTATGTGCCATATCATCATTAAACGGACAATAATCGTGTAATTGTACAAATAATTCAAATATTTATTAGGCAATTTTGATTTAAGTATCTAAAAAGTGATAGTTATAGTTCTGAAAAAATACTGTGTACTTTCATTTCATATCTTTAACTTATACTTCCATACATAAAATCTTGAGATAGACATTTGTATTGAGATTCACATGAAAAAAAGTAATTTATCATAATGTGCCACTATGAGTAAGATTTGGGAGTCTAATTTATGTGATATGTTTTGATAGAGTAAGGCGCTGCATCTTTCGGATCAAGTGCGACTATTCTCCACGGTGCAACAAAAATTGGTGAACCAGATAGGAGCTGCCGCAGCCAAACAGCAACTCTCCAAATCTCCCTTCCTCATTCTCATCGGAAGCAATGATCTCATCAACTACTTCAACTCCGATTCCAAGCTCCCCAACACCACTCCGCCGCAACAATTCGTTGATCAGATGACTGCCACCCTCAAACCCTACTTACAAGTAATTCATTTATTATGTTGTATTCGTGGTCGAAACGTTTTGATCTATCTGAAAATATAAAATAATAAATGTGGACTGTACTTTGTTATGGTTTTTGGTTTCAGCAATTGCACGGTTTGGGGGCACGTAAATTTGTGATTCCGGGAGTGCCGGCGATCGGATGCATGCCGTTGCTGCGGCACCGGCACCCGAACAAAACCGGGGAGTGCCTCGACGGAGCAAATTACTGGGCAAACAAGTACAACCAAGGACTTCAGTCAATGCTTCAGAGCTTGAAATCCAGTCTCAATGACTTCAACTACTCATATTTCGACACCTACAATTTCCTTCTAACCGTCATTCAAAACCCATCAACTTACGGTACGTGCACTAGTTTGATTCTAAATAGCTACCAATGAATTTGTCTGCAAAAATATTGTTAGGCTAAGGCCTGAACGGCCAAGTCCAGCATCCTACTTATAGAAAATGTATGTGGCGGGGGCTTCGCTATTAGCTATAGGCGCTTGATCTAATCAATGTTATCAGAGTTAAGTCACATGTCACGTATTTAAGTTTGTGCAGTTAAGACTAGCAGTGTTGGGAAGGCTATTGATCCTAAGAGGGTTTTTGTTGATGGCAGGGTTTAAGGAAGTGAAAGCTGCTTGCTGTGGATTGGGGAGGTTGAATGCTGAGCTTCCATGCACTCCGATATCCATATATTGCTCCAAGAGAAGTGATTATATTTTCTGGGACAGATATCACCCCACGGAGACCGCAGCTAGTGTTCTTGCCAGTGCAGTTTTTAGTGGCTCTAAGCAATATGCAAACCCTGTCAATCTCAATCAACTCATTTCTCTGTAATCTTCACCTCATCACTCACATGATATAATCAAAAGTGTAAGCAAATAGCCATATATATACAACAATTTTTGTAAACTGGTATTCGCATCCTGTTAAATAAGACTAATCTGACCGAGTTTTGATCGACTATAGTTACTTACAACTTTGATCCTATGTAAAAGCAGTTGTATATACAACTCAGCAGAGGCGATGGTGAGCAGAGTTTTAATTTGATTTTGGGCCGTGAGTTAATGTTTTGAATTTTGGATTCATTAGTTTTAATTTGTTATTGGGCTGAAAGATTATTTTCAATGAAAATAAATAAATAAATTAAAAGAGGATTTATAACAACCAAATGAATGATGACGTCGGGCGTATAAAAACGGTTACTCCGCCGTATCACGGAGTAATGTTTCTCATTTACTACAGCGCAGCGCTCATGCGATGTTTCAGAAGTAAAAGGAAAATTCCGATTTCCGAATAAGAAAAGCAGAGCGCATTAGCATTTAGCAGTACAGGTAGTTCAGTACCGAAAATTCCTCGCTTCGCGCCGGCGAATGACCTCCATCCCCGCCATTTCGCCTCTCTATCTCTCTACGCCGTCGCTCCGAATTCTCTCCCAACCTTTGTTCTTCTCCGTCGAAGAGTAATCAGGTTGAAGCTTCTTCCCCCTCCACGATCTTACAGGACATTCGGATATTGAATTTGCGCTAGCTGTTCCATTTCTGTATTTGATTATTTTGATCGATTGAGCAGTGCTAAGGGATGATGTTGGGCTTTTTATGGAGGAAACTCGTTTCTGGAGTCTCTTCTGATTCGGTACTAATCCTGACTTGAGCTTCATGCATCTCTACATATACACATGCATCGTGAATACTTATATGTTTTTTTAGACATATAGGAGTAACATTTTGTTTCTGATTCCGAATAAGAAAAGCATAGCACATTAGCACGGGTAGTTCAGTACCGAAAATTCCTCGCTTCGCGGCGGCGAATGACCTCCATCCCCGCCAATTCGCCTCTCTAGCTATCTCTCTCTACGCCGGACCTCCGCTCCGAAGTCTCTCCCTAGCTACCTTTGTTCTTCTCCGTCGAAGAGTAATCAGGTTAAAGCTTCTTCCCTCCTTCACGATCTTACAGGACATATTCCATTTCCGCTAGCTATTCCATTTCTGTTTTTGATTATTTTGATCGATTGAGCAGTACTAAGGGATGATGTTGGGCGTTTTACGGAGGAAACTAGTTTCTGGAGTCGTCTCTTCTACTTCGGTACTAATCCTGACTTGCGCTTCATGCATCTCTACATATATACATGCATCGTGAATAATTATGAGTTTTTGTAGACGTATAGGAGTAAGATTTTGTTTCTGTTATATGAATGAGGTCGAATTTAGGAAATCCGTTGCATGACGTTTGACCTGGTGTATTGAATCCTAGAGTTTGCTCTGTTGCTACAGAAGCTATTTGGTTTGTTTTGTCTGTATTCATAGTATCTCTTTTAGCTATTAGTATGTTTGGATAATGGTGCAAAGTTGTGTGCCTAGTTCTAGTTTTTGGATAACTAGTGTATTTAATCCTCATTGAATGTGAAGAAACTGGTTTCTAAATTCTAATCACGGCAGTAGAAGCAAAACTAATTGTAGATCATGATCACTGTGTATTGTGTGTTCGGTAAGGTTATCATAGCAAAATCACACAAAGATATCTTATCAGCAGCAGTAGTATAAATGCATAATAAACTGTGATTACAAGCTTGACTAGTATAAATGCATGATAGACTGTGATACACTGAACAAATAACCTGCAAATTTTCTCTTTATCATTTGACATTTCTAATTCTGTCTGATATTGTCTGTGATTACAAGCTCGAGTGGTATATGGTCTATTGGTGCTTCTAGGTTTTATGGACTGCTACGGATTTGGAATAATCCTTTTCTAAATATGAACAGATATTAATTCACCCAAGGGGATTCAGTCACTTCATTTTACCCGGTAATCTCTTGGCATCTCAAGTTGGGGCATCATTGTACGATATAGCATATACATAATGCAGAGTACAGAGTTGTTACATTATAGATTTGGAGCAGGTCATTTTGTGCTAATGGTGGTGTGATTTTTTATTTTTTATTTTCCCTTTAGTACAGTTGTTATACTTTTGTTCTGAATCCTAGTATGATATCCATGTGAAATGCTTATACTGAGAGTAATGTTCCGCCTAACATATTTCGAATCCTAAGTATATTTTTGTATATAACATCCAATATTCTCATCATTGTGAGGCTAATCTGAACTCGACCTAGGTTGCGTCCAAAGTTTGATAGTAGAGGAATGACTAATTTGGAGCTCTTAACTAATATTTTGACTATTTCCTTTTTGCCAATTCTTGTATATTAGGTTTATTTGGTTGATGCTGTTGTTCCCTTTATGGGTGAATCTATTAGTGAGGGAACACTTGCTACATACCTGAAGAGTAAGTTTCCTTCTCATCATCATTTAGTTCTGTTTGTTTCCTGATTTGATATTTCACAGAGGCTTATGCTTGTTTTTGTTCCCATTTTTCTTTCTTTACGAGAACTTGGTGATAGAGTAGAAGTTCATGTGGTAATGGCTCAAGTTAAAACAGATAAGGTACTTCACTCTGTGCTTTAATGATTCATTTTAGTTCAAACATTTTCAATTTTAAGAAAGATTAAAATCTTATGTATGGATTTTCATATTCCCAGGTGACAATTGATGTTACTAGTCCTGAAACTGGTGTAATCCAAATCCAAAAGGTCGTATGTGACTGAATTTATTAGTTCATTATGATTTCATTTTTTTTTTTTTAACATTTAGAATTCATTTACTTGTCATTTCTTCAATTTAGAAAATAGAAAACAATTCTTAATTTTTCTAAATTTTGGATAACCCATTTGACATGTTTTACAATTTTGGAGAAATGGATGACTAAACCTGCATCAAACCTTGCCAACAATATGTTCAATTCCTTTTTTTTTTGCCCCTTCTCTTCTTCGGCATTGTCTCCACCCTTCTCTTCACCCCACCGTTTCCGGGCTTCCGGCTATTTCTCTAGCCATCGTTCCCAATTTAAGATTTTCTCTTTAACCACTGTCCCTAACTTTTTTTCTTTTTTGGCTAAAATGTTGGAGCAATGCAAAATCTGAAAAATATAATAGAAGTAAATGGCTCTTGCCCCCTTGATAATTCTGAAATTCCAGATTGTGATCTGTTATATTTATTTATTTTAGTTCGTAGCCAAAGAGAAGGAGATATTGTGGAGCTAGGCACCAAGGTTGTTGTCATTACAAAATCTGTTGAAGGTGTGGATGATGTTGCTCCATCTGAGCAAGTTGCACCACAGTTATCACCTCCTGTTGATGAACAGAAAGAGAAACCAAAGCCTAAAGTTGAAGCTTCCCCTGTCGAAGAAAAGCCAAAGGAAACTTCGACTAAGCCCCCTAGACGCAGTGCTACAGAACCTCAGATTCCCCCCTAAAGAAAGAGAAAGAAGAGTGAGTCTTGCAGATTTTTTTTTTTACCCCCCGAAAATTCAAATTATATCTAAAACTTTATCTAACCTTGCATATTATTGAGTGCTGGTTATCTTGCTGTGGATGGCAGGTTCCAATGACCAGGCTTTTAAAAACAGTTGTCACACGTTCGAAAGACTCACAAAACACATTTGCATTGTTGACTACTTTCAATGAAGTTGATATGTAAGTTTAGACTTTAAACCATATAAGTTTTGTAATCGGAAACATATATGTAAACATTTTATACCCCAAGATGTTATTGTGTATCACTAACTTGCTTCCAGACCGATCTACTCATTTGCAGGATAAATTTGATGAAACTCCATTCTGATTACACGGATGCCTTAGTAGAAAAGCATGGAGTGAAGCTAGGTCTAATGTCTGGGGTTGTTAAAGTACATAAACCCATTATTAATTCTCCTCAGGTATGTCATATGTGTATGTATATATATATATATATATATATATATATGTGTGTGTGTGTGTGTGTGTGTGTGTGTATTTATATATATTATTTGTATTACATATATACATACATATTATATATGTGTGCACGTGTGTATATGTATAATATGTGTGCATATATATATATATATATATATATATATATATATATATATATATATCACGGGTCAAATGTGAAACATTGATTAGGTGGTAAAAAGTAAATTTAATCTCATTCGTTGATCAAATTCAAATCGATAGTCTAAAATGAAGATATATAATTAAAAAAACATGGTGACATCTTTATCTTTATCTTTATATCTTTATCTTTAACTTTATCTTTATATCTTTATCTTTATATATATATAATAAAGCAGAATCATAGTTTTCCCTCCAAAATAGTGACTGTGCTTTGGGAAAATGGACTGCAGCAATGGGATAGGTTTGACCCATAAATTTTTGAAAAAATGTAATTTTATATTAGCCCAACATTTGTTATATTAAAACTTTTATTTTTTATTAAGTTAGTATATATTATATATATATATATATATATATATATATATATATATATATATATATATATATATATATATACACGTACTAACTTTTTAATAGTGTGTAATTTTGATTAGTTTGTAAGATTATTTGTGTGTGTGGGTAAACTACGAGGTGGCCTGAGCTTTCTCTATTCGTTTAACTTTGTAAGATCATTATTACAAATGAGATTAACAATATGAATACATGTATTGTCTTTAACATTTAAATATTTCATTGTATAACTATACTTACATTTTTAATAAAACTAATTATGTTTTGTATCATAACATTACAACAATATTTATAAATTTTTTATGCACGGGGCAAATACTAGTTATGATAAATAACTTCTTTTTTTTTTTTTTTTTTTTTTTTTTTTTTTTTTGAAAATATGGTAAATAACTTGAAAGTAAGTTCAGATGGTCTTTGTCTTTGAGTGCATTTTTTCTTTCTTCAACTTCATATTTTTCCTAAGTGCATTATTATGGACAATATTTATTATGTCTTTTGTCTTTTTTTTTTTTTTTTGACAACAATATATAACTAAATTTTTAATGAAATTTGTGAGATTTACAAATGATTTGTACGTGTAATTGCTTCAATAACATTTAAGCTGAATAACTTCTCTTTTTGTTATCATAAATTGCTTCGATTGCACATATTTATGCCTTTGAGTGTAGAATTCTGGCCTTCAAATGCACAATTTTGTATTGAATTTTTTAAAGAGTCATTGATCATATTCATTCGTATTTTCGCACGGGATGCCCTCTTCGCAGATTCTTAACGCGCGCACACACATATAGGTTAAGGATCTTGTGAGAACATACAATACTATAGGAGAAAAATAAAAATTAACCTCAGTTTTACATTTGTAAAAATTCGACTGATATGATACTTTTAAAAAGTCACGGTGACATTTCGTAATTATCATCTACTTCACTTTACAAATTTGAACATTTAAATATGTAGGCCGTGTTTGGTATTTTAAAGAGTCATTGATCATATTCATTCGTATTTTCGCACGGGATGCCCTCTTCGCAGATTCTTAACGCGCGCACACACATATAGGTTAAGGATCTTGTGAGAACATACAATACTATAGGAGAAAAATAAAAATTAACCTCAGTTTTACATTTGTAAAAATTCGACTGATATGATACTTTTAAAAAGTCACGGTGACATTTCGTAATTATCATCTACTTCACTTTACAAATTTGAACATTTAAATATGTAGGCCCTGTTTGGTAAAAAATTGGCCTATAGGTCAATTTTGGTTTATTTGACCACTATTAATTGTTTGATTTAGTTAAAATATCAATATAAATGTTTGGTTAATTAGCTTTTTGCAACTCCAAAAGGCTAAAATTAAAAGGCTAACAACTAATTTACCAAACACTTTTCTACAATCAGCTAATGTTATCAACTATTTATACCCTATAATTAACACAATCAGCTAACAGCCATTTTACCAAACAGGGCCGTAATCTTTAACAACTAAATATGCAAACATGATAAATTTTATAAAATCAACGAAAAAAAACTAAATTTTAAATCTAAACAGTAAATGCTATACCTTAAGCAATAAAAAGTAAACCACTAAACCAAAAACTCAGTAATAAACTCTAAAATTGATTTTTTTTTTTTTTTTTTTTTGCAAAAGCAATCGTTTATTACTAAATATGCAAAATGTTTATACTAAATGTATAAACTTAGAAAAGTCTATGCAAACCTGGTAAATTTATAAAATCAATGGATAAAACTAAATTTTAAATCTAAACAATAAATGCTAGACTTTAAGAAATAAAAAGTGAATTACTAATCGAAACTCTAAGTGCAATACACTTTTGCATTTTTGCAAATGCAATATTTTAATACTAAATATACAAAATGTTAATACTAGATGTGCGAACCTGAAAAAGTCTGAGAATTGCAAATTTAGTGTTCAAATTTACATAATAACGTTGATGATAATTACAAAAATGCCACCATATTTAAAAAAAAAATGATATGATCTGTTAATTTTTCCAGATATAAGGCTAAAATTGGTTCTTATTTTTCTTCTCTAAGTATTTGTCTCATTTGATCCAATATATATATATATATATATATATATATATAATTTAAAAAATTATCCACTGGAGCAGAAACTAGCTATTGCCGATTGGTGTACAAACAGGATCCAATAAAATATTCAATCAAGCATAATTACTGTACATAACAAATGAAAAAAGGGAGATGCAGTTTTATAATGTAAATCAAAACTCGTGAATGAAATAGATCTCACCGTTGTTATATCAACATTCTAACTTCTACACCCGTCTTCAGCAAATGCTCTTTCACAGATTGAATAGGTACCTGCATTTACATCATAGCGTCGGTAAAGAACCATAAATTGAAAAGGTACTGTACTTATATATATTTTGGAAAATTACACTTCAATCATCTTCCTTTTTCTATTCCAAATTACCTCTGTGGAAAATACCAGCAGCTAGGGCAGCTGAGGCATTTGTTTCTTTGAAAACCTCCGAGAAGTGTTCAACGGCTCCTGCACCACTACTCGCAATTACTGGGATGCTTACAGCATCTGAAATTTGTTTGATTAGGTCTATATCAAATCCTTTCCGTTGGCCTGAAAACATCACAAAAGCCAAAAAAAAAAAAAAAAAAAAAAAAAAACCAGGTGGTTATAATATAACTATAACTATAAGAAACAAACACCACTAACAGAGAATATCTTCATGCATAACAGAGTAGGCTGGCTAGAATGTATAACAATTATTATATCTAATAAAATAAAATAATTCATCATACCATCACAGTCAATGCAATTAAGCAGTATTTCACCAGCACCTAATTCTTCAACAGCTTTGGCAAGCTCATATGCCCCAATTGGTCGACCTTCTCGTCCACCATTCACCTTGAAATGGACAAATACAAATTAATAGGCTTGAAGTTGTGAGGATAGTACAAAAAGAACAGATGAAAGACAATATTGATAATTACGTGGACAAAAGTTGATACACATAAAAATGAGAAGAATATAGATGACTACTCACTGTACACTGGTACCAAGCATACTCTTCGCCGTTTGGACCTGAAACAAGAAGTGAAAAACAGTCGAACAAAAGCAATTTCTTCTCCCCTTTCAAATCTTGGCAAGGCAAAACTTCAAGTTTCCTGTCTCCCTCTATCAACCCTGCCCCCCGTTTTCCCACAGCAAGAGAGCTAAGGTACTTCAGAACTACACATGGTGTTTATTCTAATCATGCTCTCCCCCTTGACATATCTCTTTGACATAGAGAGATGGAAGCTATTTGGGTTCTCTTTTCTAGTCTACTTTATGCACCAGAGAAACTGGATACATAAACCAACGAATTTCAAATTCCAAAACTACAATGATACAGACCCAAGTTATGTGGATGCCTTACCTGGATTTCTCACTTTGACGCTCTTGAAATGTACATCTTTAGGGTCCTTCAAATACACTCTCCTAGGATCAATACTTACAACCACTGCCTGCCATATGCAAGTTAAACCATGGGGATGCAGACAGACATAAACAACTGGCTAGCAGACATAATAATCTAGAAGAAAGTTATTCCACAAATTGAATAGGAAAGAGAGTTGAACCTGATTTCCATAGACTCTGGAGATCTGCTCTAGACTGCTCTTTCCAGTTTTTACCTGTGAGAGATGGTTTAAAAAGATAGACGTTAGAAAAGTTAACACAAAAATGAAAAGAAAGAAGAATGAATAAGCAAGTCTTCATGTGAACATTCATCTCGGAGACTGTTACATACTCCAGATTTCAAATATTCTTCTGCAGCATACACAGCATCACTACCGATAGAAACCTTGTCAGCACCAGACCTGAAATACTCTGAAGCAACTTCCAAACTGGAGTAGTGCCTGAGAAAAGCATCCATGATATTGGTAAGCGAATTGGATCTAGAAGTCCATTACTAGTCCATAATGACAAACCTTCACGCAATGAATTTGAAATGACATTAACACTGATAAAAGGTTCCCAGAGCAATAGGTTGATGTATACCTGCCATTTCCATCAGTGAAGTCTCTGATACCTCCTCCAACAGTTAGTGGCACAAAAACATTCTCTGATGCATGCCTCAATACCTATATGACAATTTGAGTAGCTGTAAATAAGCATCATTATCCTCCAGAGGCAAATGTTTTTAGAACTGCAATATAAGGTAAACAAGTTCAACAAAAGAAGATAACAGCACAACAAGCCAATCGGCATGTTAAGTGCATGCATAATTGGATTTTTGTCGGGAAGTGATTGTGAGCATAGAGGTCCATCATTTAAAATTGAGTTAATACCTAATTTAGTCATCGACTATAGTAGTTTTTTGTGATTTAGTCCTAAAGGAATTTTTGTGCTTAATTAGGTCCTCGACTTCAATGGTTTTACCCAATTCAGTCATCAGTTGTTAGAATCAAGGACTAAATTGAGAAAAATCATTATAGTCGAAGACTAACTTGGGTAAAACTACTATAGTCGAGGACTAAATTGGGTATTAATAAAGGTGAAATTACCAAGCTATCTTAACAGAGAACTCAATTGAGTAAAACCATCAAAGTTGAAGACCTAATTAAGCACAAAAAGTCATTTAGGACTAAATTGAGAAAACCCACAATAGTCAATGACTAAGTTGAATATTAACTCATTTAAAATCAATACAATTGCAACGGTTTAGAACCATCATATCAAATCTCATGCAGAATATTAGAATCCTATGGAAGGAAAATAAAGATGGATATTTCCAAAAAAAAAAAAAAAATAATAATAATAATAATAATAATATAATAATAATAATAATAAAGATGGGTTATACTTCAGATCCTCAGTTCACTGGTGGAATTTCCAGTTACAGGAATAAAAAGCAAGAGCCATTTATCACAAATACATAGATTCAGAATTTATGCTTTTGTGAACTGGTAAAATAGAAACAAAAATATATACTCAGCCCACATGGGTCAGCCAAGGTATGGCCACAAATAATATACTATTTAAATATTATACAAATATGTAATAAAATTAAATTTTTATAATTATAAAATTTTTTAAAAAGTATAAATTATAACCTATATAGTTAAACCATTTTTATAAAATTATTAATTTAATTTTTTTAACAAATTAAAGTGGGTTGGGCTACACCAACATTCTAAAAATATTGGTTGGGTTGACACAACCCACATTCTTATATGGGCTCAGTCAACACTGCCCACATTCTAATGTGCCCTTGGCACCATGGCATGGCACAACCCACACTAGGGCTAGCCCATGTGGGCATAAGCCAAACCGGCACAGCCCACTTGACATCACTACAGTAAAATAAACAAAACTATATATCGTTTAGAAGCACCATATAGGAAATAAGACTATGATATGACTGACCTGCAACATTGGTAAATCACCGAGAGGGAAGTCCCGGAAACCAGTGATATTTAAAAAGCTAACCTGGAATACCACAGCAGCCAAGATTATCATCACAATCAAATACAATGTATCAGTAATAGCTATTGCTGAGGCATACCTCGTCAGCCCCATCATAGTAATATTGTCCAGCAAGATCTACTGGCTTGCCAAGGTTCCTCACCTTCACAAGAGATAGCAAAATTAAGCGATACAGTTTTATCCAAATAGGACCCAACAGCAGGATGCTAATAATAAGCATTAAAATATCCTATGTGAACCACATTATTCATTAACATAGATTGAACATTGCTAAAGTGACAAAAAAACAGTGTGGGAAAAGGGTCAATATGCCCTCGAACATTACCTAAGAAGTCAATTAGACCCATAAACTATTTAAAGTAGCAATTAAACCCATCAACATTGTATTTTAGTGCAATGAAGTCCAAAAGCCGGTTAGTGACCTACTATCACAGGTCACTAGGGTTCCGGCGACCGGCAAACGCAATGGAAACTGAGAAAGAAGGTGACCTTCACAGTTTCCATGGTGATTGGCGCCGGTTCGCCGGCAGTTTTTGTCATCGGAAATATTGCCAGAGGTTTGCCAGAACCCTAGTCAATAACCGGTTTTTGGACTTCATTGCACCAAAATACAATGTTCATGCTTTTAATTGCTACTTTAAAAGTTTAGGGGCCTAATTGACTTCTTAGGTAATGTTCAAGGGCCTATTTGACCCTTTTCCCAAAAAGTGTTGATATTCATTAACTTAAATTGAACATTGCTAAAGTGACAAAAAAAAGTGTTTCTTTGGCATTGTCTCTCCACACCCAAACCATCACCAGCAATAAAAACAAATATATAACAAGATCACCTTTATCATTACTCCTGACATCAAGACATGCAATAACCTGCCCAGTTGGAAAATTTATTAGCATAAACTGCTGGTGAAAAATCAAAGGTATGTCATCATCAAGAATGACAGAACTAACTTCCAAAACTCACCCGCTTGGCAAGTTTAGTGGCCTTCGTTTGGACTGGCTCCTGTCTCCAAATGACACATGTTAGATCAAATATCAAGTTAAAAAATCATAGTTTCAAATCATATGTATCATGCACCTCTGTTATCTTGGATTTGGGATTCAAGAACCTCTTCAAAATAGAAAGCCCAACAGCTGAAAGATCAAATTAGATAAAGGTAACTTTAGAAAAAGTGTTTCTGATTACACCAAAAGTGACATAAAAGGAACAGTAATTCCCTGATATTCAAAGTATTCATATCACAAGGTATGTAGATCAAAATGATTTGACAGCCAATGATAGGAAGTAGACACTACTATTGTCACATCCTGTGACGACCTACTACATTAATGAAGTTATGGAGGCTTTCTTGCAGACAGGTTTCTACTCATCGACTTTCCAGAAAGATCCAGAAATTTGAAAATTTTTAAAGAAGTTGTTCAACTTTTCTTGGCATACAAAGTTCCCATACAACATACCTCCACTCTTCTCAGGGTGAAACTGAACACCATGGACGTTTCCCCTTCTAACAGATGCTATAAAATTATCGCCGTAATTGCAGGTTGATGATACCCACTCTTTATTATCACCTGACTGAAAGAAGTGATGACAGGTTAAGCAAGTTTCTTACATGCAAAAGCAAACATTAAGTTCTCAAAAATTGTACCAGTGTTGCATGATAAGAATGAACAAAATAGACATGACGCTTCCCAATTTCATCCAAGATCCCTGAAGCCTTTGTTATTTCAATTGAATTCCACCCAATATGAGGTACTCTAATTCCTTTAGATGAGTCAAAAGGCCCAACTACTCCAGGAATTAAACCAAGACCTTTTACTGCATAAACATGATGATAAGTCAGCCAAGAACTTTTTGACTCTTTTTGGTAGAATTGATTGACAAGATAAAATAAAATGGAAACTCTTGACAGAGAGAATTTTGTTTAAACCAGTTACCTGGTCCATTCTCCTCACTTGACTCAAAAAGAAGCTGCATGCCAAGACAAATTCCCAGGAATGGGCGATCTTGCTCAATATAAGTACAAACAGCTTCAACCATTCTGCTGAATATAGCTTTCATAAATTCTCAGAAAAACTCACTTAGACCAGCAAATTATAATGTTCAAGATAAGTTAATGCAGAATATCCCCCCTAATCTGTAAATAACTGTAACTGACCAATGATTGCCTCACTAGTCCCTATCAATCATTAGGTGTAAATTCTACTAGAATCTTACCCCTTCTTGTTGAGCACATCCATGGCAGTAGCAAAATCACCTACTCCAGGGAAAATGAGGTGTTTAGCTTTCAAAATGTCCTCTGGTGTTTGTACCTAAATAGATGCCAAAACAATAAATAGGAATAAAAAGGAAAGGCAATAGAGGCCATACAGATTCTCTAGAAGAGCTAAGTCCAGCTTCACTACTCGGTTACTTAAAATCTCATAGTAACAAATCAAGTACTGTGAAGTATGAACTAATATTGTGATGTGAAGAAAATCAGACAAGAATTATCGAAGTTCATTATATTGTCAGACTTATATTCTAGTGAAATTCTCAAAATGAAGAAGTAGAAATGATTCGAGGAACATATTTAAAAATATATTACATCTTTAACGTCAAAGCCGAGAAACCGAATTGCATTCCTGAGACTCCGGACATTTCCAGCGCCATAATCGAGCAAAGTTACCACTGCAAAGCATTAAAGTTAATCATAAAATATAAGTAAAATTGAAGGAAAATAATGGAAATAGCTCAATACTTTATCACTAACTAACATCTCGATAGAGAAACGTCTCTCCATTTTTTCACATAAATGTACGTTTCTCAATGCATTATATACATACTCCGATGAGAATTACCGGAATCCTCCTCGCCAGTAGCAGAGGCGCGGATCGAGCTTCTAGAAGCTTTGAAATTGAGAGCGATACTATTAGGCTTGTTCTGCAGGAAACGAAGAGACCTAGAACCGGCGGAAGAAGACGACGATGAAGAAAATTTTCCAGCGGTTCCAAGTTGTGAAGCTGAAGTAAATGCCGCTGCCTCCATGCTTCCGCTCCTGTTTCAGTTTAGCGCCATCCGTTTTTGGTGGTTTAAGGCTACGGTCCCGGCCTCCGGATTTTTAGAACCGGCAGTTACCTTTTGAGTTCCGCGAAAAAGTTTTTCATGGATCAAATAAAAGAAAAACTGTAACGGCCCATGGACATAAGCCCAACTTTGGCCCATATTACTTTCTATAGGTCATGGATATAAGCTCATTATCTCACCTTAATAATGGAACAACATAACGGTCGTGTTTGATAAAATAGTTAGCTTATAGATCAATTTTGATTTATTTGACCATTATTAATTGTTTGAATTGATTTAAAAATTAATATAAGTGTTTCGTTAATTAATTTTTTGTATTTCAAATTGTTAAAATTCAAAAATTTACTCAAAGCAACTTTTTCAATTAGCTTGTTGAGAAAAGAAATTATATCAGACAGCTATCAGCTAATAGCTAATTTACTTAACACATTTCTACAATCAGCTAATGTTATCAACTAGTTATAACCTCTAATTAACCCAATCAACTATCAGCTAACAGCCATTTACCAAGCAGGGCCAACATCTTAAATGGAATTTCTATAACCTTGTAGGGGTGAACACCCAAGTTGGCAAGTGCATCATGAAACTAAAAATAATATACATTATTGAATGAACTCTGTTTTTTAGTTTTATTTTTCACAAACACTAGTTTCATTATAATAACATTAAAGTATCATTTTAATTCTATTATATTTTCATTTGACAATTATAATCCACACGGCATTGTATAGACCATGGTCCGCTGTATAACAACTACACCAAATTAGTTTAGATTTAAGCCGACTTGTGGCAGGGGATGACCGTAATATTGAGAGTAGTGGTCCAAGATTATTCCGCTCTAAAAATGGAATTCGAATGGAAATTCTACCCTACCAAATAACTTTGTTTAGGAAAACAAGTTGAAATCCATTCCTTGCCCAAAGTGCAAGGATTTATATACATAACCCAAAGTGCATGCAATATAATATTCCCCACGTAGAATCTCTTAGCTTGATGTTCTTTTCTTCATGCGACACCCTACCAATTAACATACATTTCATAGCCATATATCCTAAATACAATCCTTTTACGTACTACATCAATTCACCATTCGATTGAACTTGCAGAAGAAATTAAAATTATGATTCAACCTTTGTATACTCTGGTGTTCTCGGAAGTGGCAATATTATTGTTGCTGCTTTTCAAGACGCCGCTGAGGAATCCACTGGTGATGCTGTTGGGAAGGTTCAAACGAGGGAGAGGCCCTGTCATTGCCAAAACCGCTGGCGGAACCTTATTCATGGTGTTGATCTCCATCTTCTACAATATGTCCCGGATAAAGACTGACCACCTTCTTCTTGCTAATCACCTTCTCGAAGCATCGCTCTTAGGTGACAATTTTAAATGTTTAAATTTTAATACCGGAGTATCATACCTGATTATATAAAATTCGAGTATCCTATAACTGTGAGTATTGCAGTACATATACTGAGCTTGTTTGGTAATTAATTGTTAGCAGTTATCGGTTAGTAAATTAATTAGCAGTTAGCATATTGTGTTAGCAGTTTTGATAAACGAATTGTATTAGAGATTTCTTAAAAAATATTTGGTAAAATTAATTGTTTATATATCCGTTGACATGTAAAAAGATCTATAAGGACGTTTGTATTATTTTCTAAGTGACACTTTTAAATATTTAAAATTTAATACTTGGAATACCATGCCTAATTATATAAGATTCAAGCCTCCTTAAATGACGATTTCAAGTAACACATGGAACATAGTCTTTAATACTACCATCTCAATTAAAAGTCTAAAATGATAATTGAATTGTACATTTATATTTATATATTATATGTTAAAAATGTATGACTTGTTGAAATAACATACAATTGCATGCAGGATTTTCTCTATTCCTAGCGATGATGATAGACAGGATTCACTATTATATAAAAGAGCTACAGACGATGAGAAAGGATTTGGAGGCTGCAACCAAACAGATCCACACTCGTAACAGCACAGAGATTGACAAAACAGCATCAAAAGATGATTAATTACATTAATTAATAAGCTACCACTGCACTAATGAATAAATCATGAAACCTCTGTTTATGGCTTGTTTTGTGTTTGTATCATAAATCAACTGATTGTTTCTATCTTAATAACACTTTCTCTGGGTTGGTTCGCCCGGCTACATCGTGTATAAAAAACTCTGAAATGGTACTTAGTTGCAGCTATACCTCCATTAATGAGTCAGTTTTTATAACTGAATTAGAATCTAAAAATTTATTATCTTCGAAGCAACAACTTAAGCCATTAAACTTTGATTAAATGTGAAATTTTAATCATATTCTTCACAAAATCTTGAATTTTGGGTGGTAAGTGATGTTTAACATTCTCATGTGACAATGATACATTTGTTGTTGTACCTAACCTAGAACTAAAGCTAATCTCCTCTGCAAAACAATCAAACAGAAAACCCCCATTGCCGGTCAAATCTTCTGGATAGAGAAATGGCTCCACCTCCATTAACTCATCTTCTTGATCAAGGTTGCAATAATTTTGAAATTTAGTTTTATCGGTTTTTTCTATGGGTGACAAATTAACAGTTTCCACTACTTCATCCATTCCTCTTACGTTCACCCAACCTTCTTCGTCTTCCCAATCGGGAAAGGTTGATGATCCGATCAACCGTCCGATCCTATTCGCCGGAGGATCGATGGGAGAGGCCGGGATAGGTGATGGAGATTTTGACGGCTCAATCGATTCCCAAAAACCTTGATCAATTACACTCGTGGGAGAATTCCTCGAAAGAATTTCGACTTTTTCGGGATTAGAATTCGGATATTGCAGAAACGGGTGGTGAAGAAGCTCCGCCGCCGTCCACCGGTCTTCGGCGTTTCTGTTTAAGCACTTGCTCAAGAAATCCTTAGCGTCGCCGGAAAGCCAGCCGGGAAATTCGGGCACAGCATCCTCGGAATAACCAATTCTGTAAAGAGTCGAAACCGGGTCGTCCATCTCCGGCCACGGCGCAGAGCCGGTGGCCATTTCGATGACCGTGCACCCAAACGCCCAAACATCAGCTGCAAATCCTTGCTCTTCCCCACGCGCCACCTCCGGCGCCATGAAAGCCGGCGTGCCGGAAAATCCACAACCGGCAGCTTCTCCATTTCCCAAGAATTTCGCACACCCCAAATCAGCAATCTTAACAGCACCACCGTCTTCACTGATCAAAACATTCCGCCCCTTCACATCACAATGCGCAATGCCTTTCGAATGAAGATAATCTATCCCCAACAAGACCTGACGAGCAAAGAATCGGATCATGGGTTCATCCAAACAACTCCCCAGCTTCTTAACCAGATCACAGAGCGTCCCACCGGAAACATATTCCAAGAAAACGTTGTACACAACCTTATTCTCCTCACACGTAATGTCAAATCCCAGGTACTTGACTACGTGAGGAGAATCAAGTTGAGAAAGTATGGACTTCTCTTTTTGCAGCAGACCGGAATCGGAGAACTCGGCGGACTTAACCGCGAAGGGCTCACCGGAGGAGGCCTTGGCGGCGAGAAAGACGGTGGCGGAGGAGCCCCGGCCGATGATGGGGCCCCTACTCCACTCCATGACTAGTAGTTGTGGGTGTTGAAGTGAGATTGTGGAGTGGTATAAGGTGGAGAACGTTTTATAGTCAGTGGTTTTGAATGGCAGGCAGTACTAATTAAGATATGCGACGAAACAAATAGCTCAAGCACAGCTGGATTTTTAATGCGCGTCGTTATTCCTCCTATTGGTACTCCGAGGTTTGGTGTACAACTATTTTTGTACAAACATTCAATCCAGCCTTAATGTCTTGGGTATATCAAAATTTGGGGAAAATAGTTTTTTTTTTTTTTTTTAAATGGGAAAAATAGTTAAATAGGCACTCAAACTAATACACGAAAGTGTAATTAATTTTTAAACTTTTGAAAAATGCACTTAAATTCATTAACATGTTATTTTGGTGTATTGACGTCCAAAAATCTATTAATGATCTACGATAACAAATCACTCAAATTCTAATGATACTCTGATAATTGCGACAGTTGCTGATTTCATCAAAGCAAATAAGCAACCATCTAAGTTGCATTCTCATCAGAGAATGCAACTATGGTCGATCGCCTTCTTGGACTATCAGAGAGGGTGACCAACGATCGTAGAACAAATGGGAAAATAATAAAAGAAGGAAAAAATAATAATTAACCACATACACAATTTATGAAGAATTGCTAATGTATTCCTTCATTTTTCATTTAGGGATGCAACGTTATAAATTTTTTTATAAAAATAATAGTTTATGTTATGAGTGTTATGTTAATTGAATTTGCACGACTTAAGAATCTCTCACTACTTCTACTCTAAAAATTAGTTGAGAAGGTAAATTGTATGATATTTCAATTATTCTATAAGCCTCCAACGCTTGTATACTAGTGTCCACAACAACGTCAAATCCGTACCTCTTTTTAATCAATTTTTCTTTGAAGGATTCACACATCACATGCACACTAGTGTCTTGAAGCATGCCCAACAACAATATTTACCTTAGGTTGAGGGGTGAGACGGTTGGAGATAATAAATTGAGTTTGCAAAATGATGATTTTTTGTGGGACCCGCAGGTGAGGGGAAGAAAAATAAGAAGAAGAAACACAACTAGAGAGTGCGTATTGTGCACACCAGCAATGTCAAGTGGGCGCGTACACTACATATATCTACTAGATGGACGCGTTTCACACCAATTTATTTCTATATTTTCTTCTTCTTTTTTCCTTTTCCTCTTCCTTCTCTCTCCTATTTTGGCCAAAAAAATTGATATTATTTACTTGCTATTAAGGATGCTCTTAATTCTCTGCATTTGTATTATAGTATGTCTAGAAAATGATATAATATGTATGCACTCTAAATTATCCATATGTCATCTTGTGCTTAGATGACACATCTGGCTCCCCTTGAACAAAGATCACAGGATAGTATTCAAAAAAAAAATAAATTTATTCATATGTCCAATGTCCAACTTCCTTCTTCTTCTTCTTCTTCTTCTTTTTTTTTTTTTTTTTTGGAAAGAAAAGCACAAATGCATTAATAATCAACCACATCAAGGGATAAAAAAAAATTATCCATATGTCCAACTTCTATTTTTATGTTTACTTTTATTAATATTAGTATTTGGTTTAATAAGGGTGGGTGGTGAAGCACGTGGATAAAGGAAAGAGGGCTGGACAGCCATGGCCGACTGCGGGCGGCGCTTGCTAAGCTCTAATCCTGCGTCTGATTAAAGCGTGATTAAACCTAACCACTGTGTGTTTAGTTAGTTTTGCGATCTTTGCGTGATGGCATTAACAGAATGAGTTGAGCGTTTACATTTTCACATGCACTTACAATGTGAAAATCGAATTATAACAACAACAAAAAAACACATACTATATATATATACAGCCTCCGTCACATGATTCCTACCACAGTTCACAATATGTGGCATTTGATGTCTCATATCATCATTTAACTTGCTCTTACTAGGGTGACTATTAGGTGCATCGAAACTTTTAGGGTGTCACTCAATATGAAAAGTAACTTTAAGTCGAGTTGAGACACACAAATTGATAACTCCAAGCATATAATTAATTAAATGGGCTGATGAGTCAGGCACTTAAAATCTAATTCACTGTCACTCGAATCTTTCGGTCCCAACCAACCCAGTGTCAGGCACTTAAAATCTAATTCATTGTCACTCGGATCTTTCGGGCACTTATATTTTTTGATTCACAAGAAAGTTTGTAGTCGCTATTTGAAAATATGTACGGGGTAAAGTTTCCATAGCTGGTAAATAACCATAATAAGGTAAATGTATCGGTTCATATATACTTTTTCAACCTACCGAAATTCAATGATTCAATACCGCATCGACACATTGTTAACCGAACTCGACACATAAAATGAGACTGAGAGAGTAATTATTATTGCTGATAGGTATTCACCACAAATCAACACACATTTCTATACATCAATATATTGTATTATTATCTGCACCCACATGAACAAGATTAGATTAATTGAGTTTCAATATAATTGGACTCATGCAGAACAACTCCGAAATATGGATTTGTTTGATAATTAGTGTAATAGATTAAATGACAAATTACAGTTTGTTCATTGTTAGAAGGCAAAATAAATTAAGCAACAGAGCAGGGACGTTGAGAAATCCAACTCTGAAACCCGTACGGCCGGCGCGGAAACATTGATGCCAATTAAGGCTTCCCTTGCCGGCCGGTCACATATTAAAGTTCAGCTAATTTATTAATACCAAATTAAATATACTCCATTATTATCCAAAGAAATATTTACTCATTTTCAGTGACTCTCAAGTCTCATAAAAATTTCTAGTTGTAATTTACCTTTTCTATGTGACTTGTACACCAGGTGACCCTGATATATCAAAGATATACAAACAATCTCATTTTGAACAAATATACAAACTAAATTAAGAAATCATAAATGTGGCTCTCCCAAATAGGAGTTCATGTTCGAACTTCAGTGGAAACATGGACTTTTGTGTTTCAGCAGTTTGAGAAAGTATGTATGAACAGATATTATATTATAACAGAATCAGTAGTACTAAAAAAAATTGTAAAATATGGTAATGCAAGACACCAAAAAAACCGCTAAGTAAGAAATTTTCTAACGGCAATACCTGACAGTTACTGTAACTTGGAGTAAATAAATAAATAAGTAAATAACTACTCTGTACATGTCATATATATATATTATCGAGTGTTAATATCATCGGCAGTAGATTGTTAAGCAGTCCCTGCGGATATTAACTACAGCTACAATTAGGCTGTACATAAGTAGTTAAGTACATTGCTTATTATTAGCCGATCCAGTATTTATTATTTAATTAGGTGGGAGTATATGCCATATAAATGCAAAAATTCTACACCATAAGAACATTAAGTTATAATACAAAAAAATGAATAATGGTAAATAAAATGAAAGTTGATTGACTTTTTTTTTTTTTTTTTTTAAATCAAGCTAATAACATCCACAAATTTATTACATTTTACTATAACATTGTTATATGTTACTGTAATGATGAATATATTAGACACGATCCAAACTTTTAAGTTTAAAAGGCATGACGCAAACTCAAGGCAAACATGCAGACTAAGGGCTAACCTTGGGGTCAACTGCGTTGGGAGGTCAGGTTGGCTAGGCATGAACTCGGAGGATGTAGATGGGAGACTCGAGATCAATCAAAGGCTGAGAAGTGGATGTCACATCAATTCTCTATTTCAGGGTTGTGAGAAGGTTGTTAGGGAACTAGTATTATAGTACGTCAGAAAACGATATAATAAGTCAGGTTGGTTAATTAATTCAGACACCCGAGTTAATTTTCTCCAGCCATCATATATATGTGTGTGTACTATATTGGTATATGTATCTCATAGAATAATAAAATTAATTATTTAGCTGAATCTCGACCGGTTAGGTTTCGTTGAGAAACAACTCACCTAAAACACTACCGAAATTACGAATGAAGAAAAATGGATAGTCACTACAGAGTACAGAGCTTTAAAGGAAGAGTGAAAATGGAGGGGTGTTGGGGTCCAAGGTAATTAAGCCATGAGAAGGCATGCATTTAGTGATTGGCTGGCTGGTATTTTGGTCTGCCTTCTGCAGGGAGTATTTAGTTAGGGAGTTTGGCAGTTTAGGTAAAGAATTGAAGTTGGGAAAGTAGTGAAAGCATTGGGTAATTAAGAGAGGAGGGAGGTACGTACCAACAACCAGTAGAAAATTTAAAATATTAAATTACAAATTTACTCATTGCTAAGTAGTTAATGAGTATATCTTTGTATCTTTATTTTAGCAATTAATGCGTGAAGAAATTTATAAATATTAAAATGAAAAAGTCCTCAATGAACACCAGTTAGATCATTACAGCGCGATTCGAATTCGTAAGTCGTAACCTACTCTAGACTAGTTATTATTATTATTATACTAAAAAGTATAACTAATATCGAAGACACAATACTATTTTATTATACTTGTCTAGGAGCCAACATCATTTTTCAATACTAGATTTGGCTCTTTAGGCCTTTACCCAACACCACCTAACATCTTTCTAAATCTTCGGTACACAAAATTATCTAAAAAGCAATACGAAAATATATTTTCGCGTGCTAATTTGCTCAACTTTTACTAGACTATGTTTAAGAGGGAAACTCGCAGCGACTATTTAAGATGTGCACGGAATAAAACGTAATTAACTCTAGTACATCAGTCCACCAATCACACATAAATAAAAAAAAATTATATTCTGTACTAAAAAAGTCTTGTGTGTTAAATTTGACTAAAAATATGTTAGTAATATTTTTGAAGACAAATAACGAAGCTATATTAGGCAAGGTGTCAGTAATATGAATATACTATACATTGCACAAAAATAATTGACGGGGTTGAGCCAAAGGTTTTGGGCTAGCTGGTGAATGACTTTAATTAAGTCATCCTGTTGTGATATAAAAAAACAAAGACATTATTTCTATGAGTTAGCCCAATGCCGAGGTTGCCTATTGGGTTGGACATTATATTTAAGATAGCAAATTATGTTGTACAACCATGTGCACCATCCAAAATTCAGTTCTATGTTCATAATTTTCAATGTTCATATTCCCAATTGTTGAACTCTGTATTCACAAATCACTAAGCTATATGTTCATAATTTGATAACTATACAATTTAGAAATTTTCTATAGTATAGCAATTACATATGAATCTATAATATAGAAATTATGAATCTACAGTTTAAAAAGTATGAATTTACAGTATAGAAATTATGAATTTATAGTGTAGAAAGTATGGATCTATAGTATAAAAATTATCGGTCCAATTCTGTGTGCACCTTGCATGGTGCACACGGTTGCACATCATAATGTTGTTGATTATTTAGTTATTGGCCGGAGCTTAAAATTTTCAATCTTATAAACTAATTAATATTGGTTAGAGTTAATAACCGAAATACTTCATTGACTATGTTGTATTTACCAATTTAATTGGTCCTCGGTTATCATCTATACCGAATTAAGTCCTCAACTATTCATTCTTTATTCAATTTAATCATCGTTAATTTATATATTTGTTAACTGTTAAAATTGATGGCAAAATTGTAACTCTATAAGCTTTCTTCCTCCTTTCCCATTTTACATAGTTGAGGACTTAATTGGGTAAGAATGATATAGTCGAGGATTAAATTTGTAATTACGTCATAGTCGGGATACCATATTAGTTATTAACTCTATTGATTATAATCTTGTGAAAATTTTTAACATCATATCCGAATGGGTATTACGTTAGTCCTATTAATCATGGTTGCAGTAGGCGCTAGGCGCTAGTCGGGCGCCCGGGCAGCGCCTAGTGCCTAGTCGGCGCTAGGCGGGCGCCAAAAAAATAGTGACAAACTTGCAGTTTGACAATTTTAATGAGGCTGTTTTCAACATTCAATCAAATAACACATCCAAATAAATGAAATAATGATAATTAATAAGTCATAACATCAAAACAACATTAAAAAATAAAAATACTCAAATATAAAATACTCATATACTTCAATCATCCAAACATTCAAAGTATCTAACTAGGACGGCTGGATCAGACGACATCGGTCAAAATTAGACGAAATCGATCAAAATCTGATGAAATTGACCGTCTCGGCGGAGTTGACCGCCTAGGCTGATTTCGGTTGATTTTGACCGATTTTACCGCCTAGGCACCTAGAAGTGAAAGCGGAACGGCCTAGGGGCGCCTAGCGCATAGACACCGCCTAGGCCGATTTTTACAACAGTGCTATTAATTCAATTACATTAAATTAGTTTCATTTCCAGAGATTTTATAAATAATTCAATTCATGTATACCTTATTTAAATGTTATTGTTTACCGATAGTAATAGAGGTGGGCATGGATCAATATGAGTCTAAGACAATTATATATATTCACTACTCTTATAATTTTCACCACCTTATTTGTCATGGGCGAACATTTTTTAAACTAACTCACATCCAATACTCCACTAAGTAGATGTGGGTTTAATTCCTATCAAATTTTATCTTACTAAATAAATTTAAAAATTAATAAGATGTCAGATTTTCATAATGATGAGCATAATACAAATATTCTAATATATTACCCCCAAAAAAAACAAATATTCTAATATAATAACAAAATGTACATGCATGCATTCAGATTGATCAAAACACATCCAGTATAGTTCCAAGAAGAAGATAGACTGGGAGTATATAACCTTAGTTATATTTCTATAAAACTTTTGCTTGCACGTTGCTTTCCATGCTGGGAGAGGGTTTAACATCTTGGTCACTGAGATCAGTACTGTTAGGCGGCGGCTGAGCTGCTGCATGGCTGCCGCCAATGATGGAGGTGATGGCGGAAACCAAAGCCGCCGTAAAACTAGGATTTCTCGTCAGTGCAGCCGCGGCAGCGCTTACGATGCCGGGAGGAAGCGGAGGATTTGGGGAATGGAACGGCGGCGGCGTTTGCTGTGTAGCCATGGGGTTGGTGAGGTCCAGGGTGATGGTAGGGACTGATGCAAAAGTTGATATTGTTGGGAGGAAATTTGGTGGGAGGACATCGAGATTCACCGGACGTCCCGGCCCGTCCGCACTCCGAGCGGCGCCTGAGAGCAGCATTGTGGCGGCGGCCGACGTAGTGGATGCCATTGGCCTGGCGGCCGGCGGCAGTGGGTGGTTGTGCTCACCTTCGTAGGTAACTATCATAACCGAACGGTCTTCGGCACACCTTTGAATCTGTCATTTTATCAGTGTTGTATTAATTAAAGTGAAAATTATAACAAACAAGTTAAGAATCCAACTCCATCTATAAGTGCAACTATGTAAAATTAAAATTCAAGAGAATTCAACCAAACTGATCAAATTATTAACTTAGTAATCAAACAGTTATAAGTTGACTCTTATTAGGAGTTGCTTATTTAATTTCTTGATTTGATCGAATTGTAAATTATGAACAACCTAGATATCTTTTGTAAGACCACAATACAAAATTTATTCCTCTCTCACTTAATAGAAGTATGTTTCCTGTCACTTAAAAAAAACTTATGAGAAAAATGTAACTATATATACCTGCTTGCGGACGGGACAAGTAGAGGTCATGGTGCAACGATAATAAGCTCGAGGGCAGGGGTTTCCTTTTGACATCTTTTGACCATATTTTCTCCATTGGCATCCATCAGAACACTGAAACCCATGCATGCATTTCACCTTCTAATTAACTACAAATCTTTGGAACTAATAACTAATTAAAACATCATCAGATTAATTCTAACTTACATAAGGTGTGTCGCATGGTATGCGGACGGAGACGCGTGCCTTCTTGGCCGCCGGGGCGGGTTGATCGGCGGCAGCTGGAAGATGATCAGAATAATTTTCACCGTTGGATCTGCCAGCAAGCTTTTGTTGTACCTTGTCGGGGCTTTCTTCTCTGGTGTTATCTTCCGGACATGGCGGTGACGCGCCGGCGCCGGCGCCGCCTTCTGGCGACGAATGTGAATGCGAATGCTCTTCCTTCATATCATCTTTCAGTTTTCTTTTCTTCTCATTTCCTTCTGCGAATCCATCGTTCATCTGATCCAATTTACCCGACTAAATTAATTAAAGAACATTAACAAAAACCATTATTAAAATCCAAAAAATATGTTCCTTTATTTTAAACTAAAAACATCATATGTCTACCTTATCGTCTTCGGGGATTTCAGGTTTTAGGGTCTGTTGATGTTCTAAGATGTATGCATAGTGCATCTTCAAAGCGTTATATTTGTCGTGGACTTGATTAAGCATTGATTTCAAACGTTGATTTTCCGAGTTCATCCTTTCCAGCTCCTCCCTCAAAGCTGTAAGCTGCACCATAATTATGTAATGAACAATCACTCAATCTATACTGCTAAAGATCGATTTGAAACTTATTTTATTACTGTACTATAAATAATCCCTCTAGACTCTATTCACAAAAATATTAAAAATAATAATTGTCTAAACTTTTTCGTTTAAGTTAAAATCAGCACAATTCAACTTTGATCAATGTTTAAAAACATATTGAATATTTATCTATTCTTCGAAATAATATATAGTAAATGGGCATTTGGTTGAAACATAGAAATCAAATAGGAATTAAAATCAAATACTTAATAATTTAAATGAATTTTAGTGAAAGTAGTTTCGTTGTTTAGTATATAAATCAAAATTGAAATTAATAAAAGAAATGTCAAATTAAATATTAAAAAACAAAAATCAAATATTGCATCATAATCTTCAACAAACAAGAATAATGGTAATGGAGTTTTGGGTTTTTTCTTCATTTTCTTCATTATTTATTATTATTATTATTATTATTATTATTATTATTATTATTATTATTATTATTATTATTAATTATCCATTCAGACATGCAAATTAAAAGTAGACTTTACTTTCTCACAAAAATGACATCTATCAATCCAGATAGGCTAAAAGAGCATTCCAAATCATTGAAAATAGACATACAAACATGAGAATCAGATGGATTATTTGAATATAATTCTCATGCTACAAATGTATAAATTAAATTAAGGATCGGTCAATACAATTTTAAATAAATTAAGTTTCAAAACCTAACATATTTTTTAAAAAAATTATAGGAGCAACTAATATTTAATGGATATAGTTTCCTAATATATAATTTAAAATTTAAAAAATATAAAATTTTAGAAATATTAATTACGAAAAAATTAAATTAGTAATGAGAGAACAATACTTAATAACTTAATAATTTATAATTTAATTTCTTAGCATGTATTAAAAGTTAGTTACCCTAAAATGAGATATAAAAGGAAAAGTGGGGCAGAAAAAGTAGTAATAACCATACATATAAACTCCTTTCTTCTTCAACTGTTGCTTTATGTTCCATTGTTGCTGGCGAAGCGCCATGGAAGACCATGGACTTCTTGCTTGAACCCAGAAGATCTAAGCCAGTCTGTAGAGCAAAAGACATAAAAACATCATCATCAACAGTTGCACTGGGTAGAGAAAAAGAGAATTAATCAGAGATTCAGAGGAGATGAATGATCTGATAACGTTGTTTCAACTTAATTACATCGAGTACTGGGGGATGGTTGACGGCTTCATCTCCAACACGGCCATTCCCTTTACTAACCAGAGCCGCTTCGTTGGCCATGGCGGAATCAAAATCAGTATTCTCTCTCTTGAAGAAATCTAGTTCGTTAACGACCCTTTTCTCGGGACGGAACGACGACGCTGCAGGCGGCGGCGGCGGCGGCAACGTAGGATCGTCGAGGGAGTTGAGAATCACTGTCGGATGATGAAGGTGATGATGATGAGATGGTGAACCGTCCATGGCGTGCGAAACAATCCAATATGATTATGATCTTTTCTACGTTGTTGAGATCGAGAACTACTGTGTCATATGCAGTCTTCAAGAAGGATGTATGGATCGGAGACACAGAGAGGGAGAGAGATCGAGCAGAAACAGGTTAATTAAGGTCTTTGTTTGAACTTTGAAGTCTTGAAGGTCACTATTTTAAAGAGGTGCAATTGACTCGGCATTATTATGGGTTTTGGACTATGACTTATGACCAAATGTGAATGGAATAGTGGACTCGAGTTTTTTTTTCTTTTTTTTTTTTTTTTAAAGAATTCTTCCTTTTGCTATAAAACCAAAATTCTAAATTATACGTCAAAACATAAATCATGTAAAGGTAAAAATATTACAAAAGAAAAAAGATACTGACCAAAATCTTATAGATTAGTTTCAGTAAACGAACTTACTCATTTAAGGTCTTGAAATCGGTGATCAAGTTAGTTTAACGGTCATGAGTTTATTGCAAGATTTCTTATCACCAAAATATATATAATTAGTACACTACATTGTAGTGTGTGTATTCTTTTAAAAAAAACACACACACAAAAAAAAAAGATTCAACTTTATAATTTTTTACCATAAAAAAGCAGTCAAAATTTAAAGTTTATTGTTGAGAATTAAGTTTTTGATTGTTGAGTATCCAAAAAGATACTTGTGGCCACCGCGCAAGACTAAATATCAGTGTGTATAAGGATCTAGCTACTTTGGACATAATCTTACATTGTTGTTGTCAAGGTCCAAATTTAAGTCTTCTCTCTCAAATAGTGTCTACTGAATCAATGAGCTAAAGGAAAGTTAGTGGTACCTACTATCCATAAAGGTTGTGAAACAAATATGGCTACAACTACTAAGGTGGAAAACTTCTTTAGGAAGTTATTAGCAAAAGGGTTGTCATTACCTTGACATGTCCATACAAAATCAAGTTACATGGTGTGTTTGTGTATATTAGACAATGAAATTAAATATGTAGAGTTGGGTTATACTATGAATATGATAATTATTGTATATTAGAATTACACAATTTAAAAACAAAAGGAATCTGTGTCATCCATGGGAAATGGAAGTAAAATAGAGTTGGAGAATAGTGATGATGTAAGAGAGTGCGTCAATAGTACACATGTCAATGAATATAAAATTTATGCATTAAATTTAAAATTTTAGAAAATAATAAATGGCATTTAGTCTTTTTTTTTTTCTTGCTTCCGTTCTGGCCAGGTTAAGTTTTTCATACGAGATGGGGTTTGAAATTCCGACATTTCTTAAGGGAGAAAAGTGCACAGCCAGACACGCCAACCAAACTGGTTAAATGACATGTAGTTTAAATTTAAAAGTAATATGCATTAAATAAAATATTAATTTTGTTTGCATTTAATTTTATGCGTCAATTTGATTAAGGAGATTGACTTAATATATATGGCATTAATTTATTTTATAATATGTTAATACATTTGGAGAGTTGGCAAATAAACTATACACACTTTGAATTCAAAACAATAATTTCATTAATTACAACAAGTTAAATTTTAAAATAAATGTAAGTTGGAATTTTTTTATATAAGGAAATGGGATACCCACATACACAAGCTATTACATTCGCCTCCACTAAAACTCAAATTCATCACCTCCCACATATAGGGGAGCAACTTAGTTTCAATGGACCACAAGGTTCTTGGTAAGTTGGAATTTTACATTACATTGAAGAATATTATAGGTAAAAAATGAATGGGAAAAAATTGAGTTGAGGAAAGACTTAGGGTGTGTTTGGTTGGTGGGTTTTGCCCATAGGAATGGGTATGAAAGTGATTGTTGTTGTTTGGTTGATAGGTTTTTAGAACACTACTATGGGTTTCGAATACCCCATCAATTGAAAAACTCATACCCAAATACAATAAGGGTTTCATTCCCTTATTCATTCTCAAGCACTACTATTAGTAACCATTCCCATTTCACCCTACTACCAAACATGTTAAATATTTTCACCAAAACCCATTACCATTACCAAGTATTTGATACTCATACCGATTCCGATTCCTATGTGCGAACCAAACACACCCTTAGATAGTTTCCAATTCCCTCAAAATAGTTATTATTTGTATTGGTTGGGTGAAAATGTATTGAATATATGTTTTTTTTTTCATAACACTGGAGAAAAGAAACAAATACAAATTATACCAAATGTGACAACGCTACACCAATAATGTTGTCTACAAAAATGATAGATCGTACACTATTGAGGAATTGATGAGCATATAGCACAGAATCTGTAAGTTTTTGTCATCGCCCATAATTGTTGTCATCTAATCTACATGCAAATTAAACATATGAATACATTTAACGCATACATGCAGTACGACATCTCTCATAGTAGATCACCCATTTTGTGATTGTGGTAAGTCAAGCATATTTAATTATAGAGTTCTTTAGTTATATAGTTGTCATATCTTACTTAAAACTAATTGATGATAAATAAGTGGACATTAATCATTTAATCACATTCTCAATGGTAAGTCGTGTTTTATCTTGGACTGAACTCGGTCGATTCAGCCAACGCTCAACAGCAGTATATAATGTGAATGTAACTTAACGGACAAATTAAGAATAAATATCCACCCGCATGGGCAGTTTAACTGGTCATAAATGTGAAACTTTGGAATAATGACCATGGATCAAGTCTCACCGGCGGCAGTGTGGAAGTAACCTCTCAAAGTGAGGGATTCCTTGTACAAATATTCTGTCGGGTTGGGGTTCTTCCTTTTGGAAGAAGAATAAATATCCGATATGAATTGAAATAATTTATTTATTAAAAAAAACGATATAGCAAATCCGTTGAATGTTTCGGGCAAATTCAATTCACCGGCCAAAGCAATAGATAGAACAGAGAGAGAACGAATTTCACGTGAAAAGCAGGAAAGCGGGTTGGGTCAACGGGTCGGACGGCCCACAGCTGTTTAGTATCCTCCATTATAGGAGCCGGAAAGCAGGTTGACTTTATTAAGAGGCATCAAGGCTTCCACGTTTCGGTTCACCATCGTTCCACGCGCTTATTACTATGCTTTACTAAATCTTGGTCATCGTTGACCGACAAAATTGGATACTTGTATTCCATAATATCACATCATCTAAATTTCTTTCTATTCAATTTATTTATCAACACTTATGACGGAGTTCATGTTGAGTTCAATCCTGCTTTTACCCAAAAATCCTGACGGTCGAGCAGGCCCGAGCTCATCTGAGAAAACTATTTTGAATATAATCATCTATTAACTAATAATTAATTTATCAAACATTTTTCTGTAATCAACTAATATTATCAACTAGTCAAACTCACTAACCTAATTAATTAACAGTTATTTATTAAACACTCCTATAATATTCACGGCATATTAAAAGCTGTCAAAGACATAATTAATATCTGTTGTCAGCAATGTTAGGGCGCAAAGCGCCAAAGTCCATAGACCAGCCATACATAGTTGCGGCGTCCAGTCCAAAATTTCAACTTGGAGAAAAAGATTGGCGTAGATAATTGGTTAGGAGGTTTGTTGGGAAAAAATGGTTTCTACTTGGAATTTCTTAATAAATATATATGTGCTAACCATAGCGGCAAGCAAGTGTGCAGTGCGTTGATTGTTATTTGCTCGAATTAAGTCTCTTTGCGTGCTCTTTCTCGTAAGCAAGCCGCTATGCGTATACGTCCTGCAGCTTGATTTGTTTGACATTTACTCTACATTAGCATAATTGTACAAACATTTGATGCCGTATTATCAAGAGTAGAAAAAAAAAAAAAACAATAATAAATGTTTGTTTAAACGATGTAAGGAAGCTGTATTAGATTGGGTATAAGGATATTTGTTTCCTTAATTGATGGGACTTCTTGACTAACGAAAGAAAACAAAATTTTCTTTCAAAATGATGAATTCCCAATTCCAAGTGCCCCACACATCTCAGTCCGACAGTTCATACAAGACTAAATACTAATGTACACAAGGGATCACATAATTTTTTACGCGATAGTAAGCAGACAAGACTAAATATTGATGTACACAAGAAATGTACACAAGGGATCACATAATTTTTTACGCGATAGTAAGCAGACAAGACTAAATATTGATGTACACAAGAAATCTATCCACTTTAAATATAATCTTTTACTGAACTAGTGAACTAAGTTCGTGCGGGCAAAAAGAAAACAAATTCGATAATAGTAGTACGTGTTCTAGATGATTTCCCTTTACTGACTTCCATCCACGACTCTACTCGTCATTCAAACACTTAATTTTTTTAATATATTATTTATATTAAAATATGGATAATATTTCGCTGTCACTCCTATGAGTTAGTCAATCATTTATGTAACCATCCAATTGACCCATTATTGATTTTTGACGTTTTATGGTAACCTGTTAACTGGGTCTTGTACATTATTATGCCTTACAGAAATGACTCGTTGACTTACATATTTTGGGAAAAGAAAATACTCTAGGCGAGCAAGGCAGAACAATATTTTCCAGTAACTAATAATGTTATGTATCCATGAATGTTAGTTAACCGGTTAACCCGCAAAGGCAAAAGAAGATAAAGTATCAATTGGATCAAATGATCAAGATTAGTGTCAGTAAAATAAAACGTTTTCGGTAGAAAAACCTTCCAGTTTACACTTCTCTCTAAAGGTAATGAGGTAATGATATGGAGCTACCTTCTAGTTTCCATCAACATTGCTCGTATCTTAGCCCTGAGATCATCGGAGGGCTCAGATGGGGCAATTTGTCGTGGACTAGAAATATCTTGAGAAGCTTCTCTACTGATTGTACCACCCAAACTTGCTCTGGATTGATCTGACACTTTGCCGCTGATCTCTCCTTCCTCAAGGTCTTCTCTTTCGGCAGTACCCCTCCTATGTTTGTTGGACTTGTGCCGATGCTGCTCATCATCAGAAGCTTCTTTTAGTTGCTTGTGTTTGTTTTTGGGATGTGAGCGATGAGATTTATTCTTTCTAGAGTGTCTATGATTTTCCTCATCTCTTTCCTCATCATCATCATATTTATTGGAAGTGCGATGAGACCGGTGCTTCTTCCTAGAATGTCTATGACCCCTTTCTTCTTCATACTTGTCAGATGCTTCATGTTCATCTTCATCTGAGTAGTGTGACCGATGATGCTTCTTCTTAGAATGTCTATGACCCCTTTCCTCTTCATACTTGTCAGATGCCTCATCCTCATCTGAGTGGTGTGACCGATGATGCTTCTTCCTAGAATGTCTATGGCCCCTTTCCTCTTCACATTTGTCAGAAGCTTCATCTTCATCCGAGTAGTGTGACCGATGATGCTTCCTCTTTGAACGCTTGTGATCCTTTACATCTTCACTTTCTTCTCCTCCATTTTTCATTGAAGAGTAATGTTCTTTCCTGGTAGATTGCTGTTTCCTTTCACCTTCACCATCTTCATCCACTTCATGTCTCCCAGATCTCGATCTGTATTTCCTAATTGATCTCCTCTCATTATATTCATCTCCAGGTTTCAGCCTTCCACCTTGGTCTGACATATCACCATCTAATGGAGCTGAACTGCCTTCTCTTTGTTCACCACGATGATTCAACTCAGTGCCGGAACCTGATAGCCCAGATTCCGGTGGTTCCAAGGATACTCCACGTGGAGCAGCTCCATTTTTCAACATGGCCACAAACATCTTTGCCTTCTTCAGCCTCTCTGCTTTCAGCTTCTGATCTTTACTCAACTGTGTTTCAGAAGAATCAGCTTCAGCATTGGATTTAGGAATTGCCCTAGACACTGCAGTCATATTGTCGTGTCCAGATGAAGTTATAGTACCTAGGCTGCCATCAGTGGTATTGCCCTGGCTATTAGCATTTACAGCAGCTTGTGAGAGAATTCCTATATTAGGATTCTTAATGCCCCTAGCAGCTGCTTGAAGAATGGCGGCGGCAGCAGCAGCATCTACACTGAATCCATGCTCTTGCTGCTGCCCTTTGTCCAATGGTTCCTGTGATTCCTTCTTTGATTTTCCAATCACCATCTTAAATTTCTCTTTCTTATCGAATTCGTAAGGCACATCACCCTCACCAGATCCAAAGGGCAGGGAACCACCTTCCTTGGACAGCGAAGCTCTCTTTTCCAGCCCTTGCCCAATTGAATCATCATTCCCAGAATGGAGGCTCTTGCCACTAACTTTTGACTGTAAAGAAAACAGGCACATTATTTAGATTTTAGATTGGAAAGAATATTGGAAAAAGCAGAAGTGCCATACATAATCAAAATTTGAAACATAATAGAGCATTAGAGCTACATACAATCTCATAGATTTGGAAAACTAAAAAAAAAAAAAAAAAAAAAAACTCAATTCAAGCAAATAACAACCCACCCCAGTTCCAATCAAAATGAATATTCAATTTGAGTTTCACACTTCTGCACAACTTTGAATACAGAAATTTTTAAGCTTTGACAATTTAATGGGCTAGATGTCCTATCTAAACCCAAGTGGACCCAAATCTGAGATGAAGATCACTTTTCATTTACTCAGATGTCTGTGTGTGTGTGTGTATGAGTGAGTGAGAGAGAGAGAGAGAGAGAGAGAGAGAGAGCACCTCTTGAGCACCATGGAGAACTTTCAAATAGTAAGGATGATACATGTTGGATGGGAGAAGAAAAGGAAACCTGCCATGCTTACTATCCTGTTCTATAAGTGTTGCCTCAAACTGCTTTCCATTCTTCACAATAAACTCAACAATCTTGCCAATCAAATTCTTCAAATCAGATGGAGGCTCTAGAACTACAGGTTCAATCTTAAATGTTCCGAGACCAGATGCCTTAATCTTCTCTAATGCTGCAGCAACAGAAGCAGAAATAGAATCATCTTTCAGTTTTTTACGGCTTGTGCTTCCATTCTTGGATCCACTGATCAAAGGATTCTTTTTCAGTAGATGACTCTTTTCTTTATCTAAACCACTACCAGATGGAGGCGGATGCTTGGAAATTATCTCATCTTGTCTGCTCACATTTGCACTAGATTCACCCTTCTCTTGTGCAGTATAAGAAACTGCATCAACAGCTTCATTATAAGCCATGTTGTTAGGAACATCCTCATCCTCTCCGGACCCATAAATAGAACCAAGCAAGGATAATGCACCATCTGGCTCATTAACATCCTTTCTTTCTTCATTTTGTGGTTTCCCATCAGAATTCAACAGTTCTTGGTGATCAACAAGAAACCTATAATACGGATGTAAGTAATGATCAGGCATCAAGAAGCCAAATGTTGGGTTATCTCCCTGTTTCACCCTCAGAACGATTTCCGACTGCCCGCCATGTCTGCTAACAAATTGAGCAGTCTTTGCAATTATTTGATGAACCTTCTCAGATGGTGGCTGAAAAACACATAAATCAAAACATTTCTCCGTTAAAAAGTAAACTTCAAAATACATTAAAATATCAAACAGAAACTGGAATCTTACAAAATAATCTCAAGATCAACAATCAATCAGACGAGTGAAGCAATGGTCAACTAGCAGAGTTTTACAATATGATTAAGTAGAACTTCCCCCCTCAAGCAACAAAGATAACTGTCCTTGTAAAGAAACTTTATATTCCTAATCCCACCTGTACCGCACTCTCCTTTGGTCATGACATCAAAAGGAAACAAGGTGCCTGTGAATGGCAACCTTAGATGACAATAACTCCGTCACTGCTCCAAGCATCTGAATTCTGAAAACTTAGACATGGTGAAGAATAATATAAAATTTAGGCACTAGTCTCGGCCACATGGGGAAATCTTGTTAGCAAGTAACTACAATATCCAACAGTCATAAAAATGTAATGAAGTAGACCTACACACACAAACTTACCAAGCATTGAAGAAGGTTTTCAGGCACACTGAAGGAAGGACGAAATCCAGAGTTCTCAAACCCCATAGCAGACCCCGCTTGTTCAGCACAATCATTATAATTTCCATAAGAGAAAGGAATGGCATGGTATCCACTAGTATTAACTGCATTTGCACCCTCTCCTTCTTCTTCTGTATGGAAAAGGACCATGCAATTATGAACTATATAAATGGACACATGTCTAGAAAACACTAGCAGTAAAATACCAGCTTGTGTATTTAATCTAGCAAGAGGAAAGCCAAAACATTTCCACATTACCCCCTCCCATCTGTGGTCAACCTGTAATGCAAATTCGGGTTTCGAGTAACCCTTACTTTCCACTTTACATTATAATTACCAAACAACTTTCTTACCTTTCTGCATCGCATTCTTAGATAGTTATTATGATATTATCATTCCTTATAATTGCTTTTTGCAAACTAATGAACTATGCTTGGATCGCTTAAAATTCTCAATCAACCCTATTATCCAAGCAAATGGAGTATATACCCTTCAACTTAATAAATAATAAATTTACAAAATAACATATTTAAAAGAAAAATTAATAGCTTCAAACCACTAAGCACGAGCAAAAAGCATATAAGAAAACGAAAATAAATGCAGATGAGCAAATTCATTACCTGGTTCATCGGAAGGCGGTGGGAGATCAAGATAACGTTCCAGATCAAGCTCTGATTTAAGTGAGGAATCAATAGCATGAGATAAAGAAGGAATTGACCGCCTTGGTTGCGGAGGAGGGGCGGAGAGAAGGTGGCGTACGTCGTAGCGGTCAATTTTGAGAGAGTTCCATTCAACGAGCGCATCGGCGGAGTTGACAAAAGCCGCCATGGCATCGTCGTCGAAGAAAAGAGCGTGGCGCCCTACCACCTCCAGATCCATAGCTTCTGAATCAACGAATCCTGTAACCTTGAACTTGCTCAAATCCTTGATTAAAATGAAAACTCGAAGTAACCCTAATACACGATAACGAAAGAGAGCGCTAGATTCAACGGAGCGTTAGACAAAGAATTAATATTGTTTTTTTTTTTTTTCGCATCTGTGCGCTGTCTATTATACTCCGTAATTATAATACGGAGTATTTATTTATAATATTAATTTAATTCCATAACAGATTAACAGGACGTTCAAATATGTAAGAACAATGTTATAAATCCCTCTTATATTTTCCCCAAATCGTATCGATTATAACATAAGTAACCAAATAATTGAAGTAAAATGTATATTGATTTTTTTAAGTATATAATTTTAGAAACTTGTTAATGAGCTTGTGGTGTAATGACACGGAATGACTCTTCAATATAAGAGGTTATGGGTATTGACTCTTTGTGCTTTATTAGGTTGATAAAATAATTATGGACAGATATTACATTGTAACAGCAGTAGTACTCAAATATATATATAATTTTAGAAAATTAAATCTGAAAAAAATATTAACAATTAAGAAAAAATCAAATAAACGTACCTACAAATTATTATGTTTTATAATTGAGAGGTTAAAATTGTCAAGTTTTATTTTTTTGAAAATAAATAAGCTCATTCATTTAATTATATGCTAAAGCAATTGCAGATTTGATTGATAGAACGATATACTATTCCTTATCGTCAGACATAAAAACAACTCTCATAGCAATGCTACAAAGAACTTGAATTGCAGACTATTTCACAAATTTGAAGCTGAATTCGTTTGATGAATTTAACGCTTCTTTAATATAATTAAAAATTGATCAAACGTAATCAAGACTAATTTTAGTTAAAAAGTCTTACACACCACCTGAGTATATGCTTCTTATCTGTCATTCATTGACAATAAGTTGTATATGTATTTAATATTAAAATGATAATTAATTGCCCCTATTGACCTTTCTTCCCATATTTCCCTCATTAGTTTAATACTCCTCCTAATTAGTCTACAATTTGCGGGCAATAACAAATTAAACAGCGTATAGTATCACGAAAGAAACTGAAAGAGGAATGCGTTGACTATGCAATCTCAAGCAAACCAGGTCAGCAGCCAACAAAATCTAATACGCTGACACGTGGCATTTATTGCTCAATACTCATCAGCTTTCTCCGATTAACACTTCATTGAGGATTGATTAGTCTTACTTTACTCATTTATTAGACTTCATTCACTCGTGGTTAACTTATAAGTGTCGAAACTTTTTAATTACACTGTTATATTTTCATAAATTGAACGATAATTTATGTATGATGAACATTGTCGTTTTGATTTTTAAATATTTCAAGATTTTACAGTGTTTGAGTCTCTTTTTTTTTTTGACGCGAGTATGTCATACTTATATTTTTGTTTGTTTGTTTGTTTTTAGTCCTTTTTTTTGGGATGTTTGGTAAATAGTTGCATTGTTAGCTGATATAGCTATTAGTTTATTAGGTTAGTGAGTTTAACTAATTGATAATATTAGTTGATTGTAGAAAAATATTTAGTAAATTAGTTGATAGTTGATTTAATGCAAAATGATTTTCTAAAAAAGTTGATCGATACTTTGAGTAGGTTTTGAATTTTAGCATTTTGAAATAATAAATTGTTACAAAAAGTCAATTAATCAAATACTCATATTAATTATTTAACCAAATTAAACATTTAATGATAGTCAAATAAGTTAAAATTGACAGATAAGCTAACTATATATTACCAAACCGCGATACCGAGTTTATCTTTTGTTCACTTGCTTTGCTTCACCAAACAGCCATGGTTATGCATGTATTTTTAGTACCGCCCAATACATTATTAAACTCAAATGAGAATTATGCAACAATCTTTGCACTTACGTTACATTATATTCACCGCATGCAAGCTGGCCGCCTGCTAGCTTTATCCCGGCCTACATCCATATATAAATAATGCTTCAAATGCTCAGCTCATCAGATCCATACATACCTCAATATAATCATCATTTCGATCTCTCATCTATAAACAAATTAAACCGATCCATCTTACGAAGTCTTCTTTAATTTCCACCTTCATTGAGGAAAAATGAAGGTGATGATGATGATCAAACTGTTCGTAACCGCCATTGCCATCACCGTGGCGCTAACCATCGCCATTTCGACGACGAAAAACACCGCCGTGGAAGGGGGGAATGGCGGCGGCCGTTCGATGAGTTCGGACAGTACGGCGGTGGCGGCGGCGGCAGTTGGGCCGGCGTCGAGAAAAGTGAGCCGTTTCCTGGCGGAGGAGAAGAATCCGAGAGCGGCGGACCACTGCAAGAAGGACGACGAGATCTGCTACGTACTGGAAGGGAAGAACTCCACCTGCTGCAACAACAAGTGCATGGACTTGGGCTACGACAGACACAACTGCGGCGCGTGCAAGAACAAATGCAAGTTCACCACCACATGTTGCAGAGGTGAGTGCGTGAATATCTCCTTCGATAAGCGCCACTGCGGCGCTTGCAATAGCCCCTGCAAGCATGGCCGCTACTGCATTTACGGCATGTGCGATTACGCCTGATGGATCCATGCTGGTCCAGAATTCATACGTTGTTGGTTCGATAATTATAATGTTGGTGATACACTGATACATATATAATTAATTATATCGTTCATTTAATAAATAAATTTCAGGCTCCCAAACTCGAATTATTATGTCATAATAATACGTACTAGCAAGCGTTGTTCCAACTTTCAAGTGTAATAATATTGCAACAATAATAAATAGTATTTGTTTTTAAAGATCTCTATGTATGTATTGATTTGCTCAACATGTTGATAGAAATATGCATATGTGCCAATCGATGTATGATGAGACATTAATAATTTGTATACATATACATGCACTACATGCGTATGTATATGTATTGATGGCATATATGCATTATGCGTATCGTATAATTTAACTAACAAATTAAAAAGTTGAAGATGATTAGGCAGTTTGGTAAGCAAAGGTAGTAACGTTGTTCAATAAAAATCACATGCTATTTTCTAGGGACCCGCCGAAGGACTAGCTAGCACATAATATATATAACATGCACGCACGTACCTAGCTTCATGCTTAATTACCACTTATGCATGCACAAAAATCCATGTGGTGGTCACTCAAGGAATGATCAAGTGAACAGTGTAATGGATATATTAGGAATCGACCCGAATCGATTCGAGAGCGCGGAGCAAGAACGGGTTCTGGAGCGGTGCTGCGTATCCGTCCCGGCGCGAGCCTCGACACGTGGCCTCTGCACGAGGCCGACTTGAGGTCGGATCGACCTCTATACGGGGTCGGACCAACCTCCAGAGGGGCCTGGTCCGAGCCCCAGACGGGCTCGGTCCAACCCCCGTCTCGTGGCCTGGTCGCGACTCTGGGCGCGGTCAACTTGGAGATCCAACTACTCCCGTTTTAGGGGGAGGCAGTTGGGGGGTTTAGCTTGTATAAAAGCCCCTTACTTGTCCTAACAAGACACGATCTATCCTACTTACATACTTTGTACTAGCGAAATCATTGTAATAGCCTATTTACGGCATTTGATATAATATACGGTTCTCACGACCTACGGTCCCTGCGGCCTTATAACATCGTTTTGTCCCGTTTATATATTTTCCATATTACGTTCTTATCCAGGTTTAATAATTCGGGCCACCCCTGATTAATTAAATCCATCACAGTGTATAATTTTTATATCAGAAAATCAATTACAAACGAAGTTAAATTTTACTCGTGTTGTAAAAATCGATCTAGGCGTTAGGCGATTTCAGTTTTAGGTAATTTTTAGATGGTTTGGCCGACTAATCAGTCGATTTGGTCGAGTTGAGCGCCTAACTCGACCGAGTAATTTTTTTGCCTACTCGGCTACTGCTCTTATATATTTCTCAAGTGAGGTACTTAACTAACCATATAATATATGCATTTAACTAATTTTTGACAACTCTTAACCTTGAGTGGGAAAAGTAAAGAATATACTCGAATTATTAGACCGTCTACTAAAGCGCTAGGCGTCCCGTGGGCGTTCGATGACTAGTGCATAGTGCCACTGGATACCAGATTAGCGCTTAACGCCTTCTACAACATTGATTTTTATAAATATTTTTTGGTCAAACTCGTTAATTATGAGAGCTATTACACAATGAATGAATGCATATATCTCAGATGCTTTGTTGGGTCAGTGTGTGGGAAACGCTTAGGATTGGGGTTCAACCTTTTGGAAAGAATGCATATATTTAAATACGGAGTAATAGGTTATGGATTAATTTTTTTCGTTGTCTAAACAACTCTAGGTGGCGGGCAGCAATCGTAACACTACTTTGAGTACAATACTAGGCATGCAGTATCTAAGCAATTCAATCTATAGATTACAGTTTCACCAACTTAAATCATTGTTTGATTATGAGATGGATATTCTCTTTGATTCTGAACATTTGATTTTAAAGTATCCTTAAACTATTATTTTGACATGAAATCCAATCACAATCACCTATAAGATAAACTAAGATATTGATGGTGTAATGTATAATTGAGCCTTAAATTATGATTCCGTATGCAATTCAATATATATTTGATTAATTTTTTAAAAATTATTTTTTTGGGGTCCAAATTAAATGTTGCAATGTTAGAATTGTAGGGGGACAACAAAATTATGAATTGATGAATAACATAAAAAGGGCAAATTAGTCATTTGAATTTAATAAATAGTGCAATTAAGTCCTAACATTATCTATTTAGATGATCACCATAATTTGGTATTGACAAAGTTAAAAGCAACCTCAACAATTGCGATTTTTGAAGAATTTTTCTAGGTGTGATTACTGATTAGGAAAAATGATGAGAAAGAAGAGAGTAAGAGGAAAAAAAAAATTTGACCAAAAAAAAAGAAAAGAAGAAAAAGAAATAGAAGATCTTATGCGTCTAAGGGTGCGTGCTGGGCGTGCAAGTTGGGTAACTTTTTCACCATGCGGGGCTCACATTTTGAGACCAAAAATCCATCATCTTACAAGCATCTCATTTCTTCCCTCTCCTCCACATTATCCTTATTTTCTCAAAACCTTACCATAAACCACCGATGGGAATACTCTAACATGTGGCATACTGATATTTATATAAACCTTATATAGATCTTACGTATATATATAATATTATTTTAAAATTAATTAAAAACAAACACCATGCCCATGGTGACTTATATTTTAAAAATTGTGCACATAAAATTTATGTAAGTATTAAACCGTCATATGATAATTTAGTCCACACCACACCACGGCAACGGTGATGATTAAATAGACAATGTTAAGATCTAATTACACGATTTTATATCCATCAAAAAAAAAAAAATACACGATTTTACGAATTTAAAATATTTAATTAAAAGTTTTTGGAATAAGGGTCAAATTAGCGCGTAATGTAAAATAATGTAATTGAACCGCTCAACTAAAAAATGTGTAATTAGACCTTTCAACATAATAAAATCATGCAATTTGTCCTAAGTGACCTGCAGCGGTAGGTTACCAACAAGTAATTGATTAAAATTTTTAAAAAGAATTAAAAATTATTTCAAAACAAAAGAAAAAAAAAAAAGAAAAAGAAAAAAGAAACAGAGGGTCTCCGTCTCCGGATACACCATAGAGGGGACAACTGGTTCCGACAAGGCAAAGCAGGTGGCGGTGGATGGCGAGTGTCTCCCGGCGAGGTGAGGCAGTGCACAGTAGCGGTAGTTCGGCGTAGGCAGTTTATGGCTGAGCAGTGGTTCCCATAGGCAACAGCATCCACCCAGTAGTTTTAGCGATGGTTTCTCCTCCGGCGAAGGCTTGAAGTGGCGACCTCTGGTCTTCTTCCGGTCTGGCTGTTCTGCAAATCACCGATTGTCTGGCGTTGCGACGGCGGACGGTGGGCGGTGACCACGAGGCGAATGGCGACAGCAACGGCGACACCAGTAGGATGTTCAGCCATGGCGGTGGTGCTATTCCGATCTCCGGCTCGGCTCAGGGTGGTAGAGCTGATGGCGGTGTTTTGGGTGGGAGAGAAGGCGGAGTGTTCGATGGTAGCAAAGCTTTCGACCGGTAACCATGATTGTCAGCGCCCGTCTCTCTCTCGTTGTTGCCGTTGCGTCGGTCTTTAGTCTCCAGATCCATGGAGACAATACGCAGATCTCTTTTTTATTTTTAACTAATTACCTGTTGGTAACCTGCTACTGCAGGTCACTCGGGACAAATTGCATAATTTTACAATGTTGAATGGCCTGATTATATATATATATATATATATATATATATATATATTTAGTTGAATGACTCAATTGCATTTTCACGTTACATTCGAGTAGAGCTGTAAAAACGGGCCCAACCCGTCGGGTTGGGCCCGTTTAACCCGTATTTTACACAGGTTGGGTTGGAGAATTTCCAGCCCGTCCCATATCCCCGCCCACCCTACTCCAAATGTGTTGTATAATTGGGTATTTTATATTTAAAAACATTGTTGCTAACAAAACTTGAACACTTAACCTTTTACTTAAGTTATTATCAAATTATTACAATTGAAACCAATTATGCTAAGAACACTTGTTAAACACTTTAATATAATTATATATCTATGGAATAAGGGTCAAATAGGCCATCGAACTGCACACGATAAAACAATTAGGCCATTGAACTTAAAAAATCAACAATTAGGTCCCTAAACTAATCAATTTCAAACAATTCTTCCAATTTGAAGGTTTCCAACAGGTCAACAGGTCATCTCCCAAATTAATTATTTTTTTAAAATATAAATTTTAAAAATTAATTATTTTTAAATTAAATTAAAAAAAAAAAAAAAAACTGGAATCCAGCCGGGGACGACCGTCTCCGGCTGGAACCAGTTTTTTTTTTTTTTTTTTTTTTTTTTTTTTTTTTTTAATTTAAATAATTAATTTTTAAAATTTAAATTTTAAAAAATAATTAATTTGGAAGGATGACATGTTGGAAACCTTCTAATTAAAAGAATTGTATGAAATTGATTAGTTTAGGGACCCAATTGTTGGTTTTTTAAGTTCAGTGGCCTAATTGTTTTATTGTGTGCAGTTCGATGGCCTATTTGACCCTTATTCTTATTCCTATATCTATTTACATCATTTACAAGCATTATTAAATATATAATTGATTTATATTACATTTATTACAAGTATTAATTAATACAATTAATTATATCTTTATATCAATATTAATTCAAAGTTTATTTATTATATAAAGTACATAAACTAATAAATTATATATTTTATAAACTTTATAACTTAATAGTTTATATTATAATTACAAAATAAAAAATATTACATGTAAAATATATTAGTATTAAATATAAATTAAATAAATTATAATTACATATTAAAAATTAAAATCTAATTTTATATTTGTATATACATATTTATATATATAAATATACATATTTGTTCACCATGGTTAATGTGGTTGATTGGAAATGATTTTGGCTACTAACTTTGAGGTCATGGGTTCAATTCTTAAGTAATAAATATTTTAATAATATAATTTTTTTTAAAAAAATAATAATAAACGGGCT